TAATTACTGACCATGTAAATTTGAAAATAACTTTCGTTGCTGAGCAACAGAAAAATTTCTTAATTGGGCATGCAAAGTGTCTTCTTCGTCTCTCCTTATCGGTAGACCCGTCTTTAAATCAGAGTATTATCTCATCAGAGTAGTATCTCATTCTCCTTCCAACTAAGAAAACGTATATGTATAAATACAGATGTAACAATGTTATGAGCGTAGATAAATTAGATTTGAGTATTTTTCAGTAAAATGTATTTATAATTGTCGATCGTTTGATTCATATATTTAACACTTTGATTGTTTAGAGATAAAGGTTTTGTAAATTTTTTAGTACCTGTGAACGATGACACATTTTGTACGGTAAATTTTTCCATTGCTTTTTTTTTTATTTTTCTTTTTGAAACAATGAATTATCAAAAAGAAGACAATGAAATATTCAGCAATCAAAGAGTTAAGAAAACGGATGAAAAAGAATCAATTCTTAAAATGTATTGGTTTTAGAAAAAAAGAAAAAAAATTGAATTATAAAATGAATGATCAATATCAGGATGCGAAAAATTCGAAACAAATTCAATTTTGTAAAAGTTAAAGTACAAGATAACATTTCTAGATATTTTGATAATCACATTTCTACGTTTTTACACACACACACACACACACACACACACATACACACACAGAGTGCATTATTGAAATGGAATTGTATACATAGTTGCTAAGTGCAGATGAACTTAGACTGATTTGTAAAATCAATCAAGTCTGTGTCTGTTTCATTGGTGACAGAATCGAGAAACATTGAACGATTTACCAATTTTAATAATTAAAAAGAAGAGAACTTTGTGCTCCATAGGTTGTTAAGATTTCTATTGTATTTTACAAGCGGAAAATCGGAATATATGATTGTATTATTTATTTATAAACGCATTCACTGCCAGGTATTTAACTTTCTCGTCGTGAATGATTTATTTCTTTGTATTAACGAGCCACGGAGAAGGTTAGATATTTACACGACATAATGAGAATATTACGTGAGACATATTATGAGTAAAAATAATAGGCAAATAGTTTGCATCTTGGTGGGAAAATCGTTTTATAAAAGCTGATTCTGTTAATTCAAAGAATTCAATTGTAAATGATTGTTTTGTTGAATAATGTTATATTGGCGTAATATTATTAATGCAATATTAAACGATATTATTTAATAATATTACAGTGATATAATGTTACATTTTATAAATGTATTGTACATATTTATGTAGTATATTTGTATTATCGATTGTATAAAGAGAACATTTTTTTCGTACTTTACTTTAGATCAGAGGTGGCTAACTACCGGCCCGCGAGATTCACCTCTACTTTAGATGATCATCAAGAATCATTTTAATTCTGATTGGTAACCGCAGTTTTCCAATATGCTTCCATAAATGAAATGTCGTGAAATTATGTTATGGAAACTCCGCACGGAGAAATGCCCTTACTAAGTTATTATTTCTTGAATTATTTATTATTTATAGTTAAGCTCTTGCATAGTCAGTAATAAAACTTGTCTGTTTATTTACATAGTGTTTTCTTGTTGCTAAGAGGATAATAATTATCCAACATGTTTGCGAGTCGTTTTGTTTCAATGCACGCGGAGTATAAAGATTTTATATATATTTTTACTTGCTCGTAGTTCTATCGTATAAGTGGAGAACGATTATACATATTAAACGAACGGCGAGAGAGATGTTTTTATTTATTCACGCAAAATGTTTCTCGCGTTTCTAATTCTAATCAGACGAAGGTTGTTATCAAAACGTCCAGTAACTTACACTACTGATTAAACTAATATCGCATAATGTATATTTGTATAAATTCTACAAGTATTTTATCATTTGTATTATGTACTCGATTTTTCCCACCAACGTGCTTGATAAGCTTTAACAGTGAATGCGTGTATAATTATTAATATGTAATATTTTTATCACGCTTGATATAATTACTAACAGTATAGTGCAGTTGTGCGACTGTAGCATTCTTTTCTTTCTTTTTCTTTTTCTTTTTCTTTTCTCTTTTTTGCTATCAAGATCAAACGGAAAGGATATTTCACAATCTGTGATTAATATAATATAATATGTATATATACATATATATATATATACATATATATATTATATAGACACCTATAAGCAGCATGGAATTTGTGATTATATTAAGATGCAAATATTTTTTATACGAATTGGTGTATACGCTCAGACGATCGTATTTAATACAATACATCGCGGGACGAAATTAGTAATAGAATTTATGTGACTCGAATCGAAACTATTAAAGGAAATCGAATTCTATTAGAAGAAATCGTAAAATTTTTTTAATAATATATTTATTGGTAAAATTGTAATTATACTGGAACTAATAATTCGTTTGAATGCCGGGTGAATATTATACGTAAGAATAGAGCGCGATCAATTTTATATTATTTCTTGGAAAATTGTTGAAAATCGTTAGTTCGCATACTATGAAAATTCGTTACAAGAAAAAAAAAAAAAAAAAAGAAAAACGTGAAATAATTTCATAATGTTTCCAAATGAGACCAATTATTTTCTACATTTGCATTTTACATATGTTCCGTACCAATTTCACAAGTAGATGATACATTGATTTCACGCGTCGAGAAGAATCCAATTTACAGTGGGAGTTTCGCTTGGATTTTATACAAAATTCAAGCTGCAGCTCAATATTTATAACTGATAAACCTAAAACACGTGTTCCAAGTGTCCAGTTTCACGCTGTTTCCTTGAAAGAAAATGAGTCTTCCTGTGTCTATTCCTGCCACGCGTCGACTGCCCTGAAGATATTTTTTACCAGACCTTCATTCACGATTTTTCATTGCATTTGAATGTGAACGTATACGGATGTAACTATAACATTACCTTCACGGTTAATGAAAATTATTTTTGAAGTCTTTTACCAAACCGTAAATATACACTAATGCCAGTTAATGTCACCTGATTGTAGCGAATAACAAAAAAAAAAAAAAGATATTGTAACTGTTTCATGAATTTACGCAGTCATAGTTAACGACAAAATTTTCTCAATAAGTAACATCGTAAATTGTAGTTAGTTAGATAGTACGAGTAAAATTATAATCGCGAATGTTTCCAATGAAAAGCGAATTTTCGATCTTTTGCGATCAAAGTGACAAAAGTTTCATACAATGTACGATTTTCATCAAAAATACACGATATGAATTCGCGAAACACTCAAAAGATTGTTAATTAAGAAAATAAATACTAGTTAATGGAGTCTTGGAAGAACTCGATGAGCAAACACAGTGAGCTTTAATTTGATCTTAAAGATAGAAACTGACTTTAATTCTTGACGATAGAAATTTTTTTTTTTTTATATCCTTACGTACGTAATAGTAATTAACATAGTAATTCGGATTGTTTTCTTTTAAACAAAATGTCAAAAATTAATAATAAGCACAGGACCACAGTATATTAAAAAAGGAAAAAGAAAATTCTTAAAAAAATTTGTGTATCTGTAATTATTAGGAGTTATAATATTTTTTTCTTTTTTTTTCACGAATTTAATTTATCAATCATCGTACATCCTTCGGCAATGATAACGGTACAGAGAACTCTGTATCATTTTATTTGATTCCCTCCCGTTTTTTGTTTGCAATGGTTTTGATACCAAATGTTCTAGTTTATACTTCTATTTATAAGCATGTCCTTTATATACATATAAATACGTATATTGAATATATGTGTGTGTGTATATATATATATGCGTTATATGATATGTACATACATATATTTGCAACGCGGTGCACGCGAATGATACGATCTTTGTAATATTATAATATATATGTATATGTGACACTGATTAATATGTATGATATATAAGGGGTATGTATCGATATTTGCTGTGAGGCACACGCGAACGCCCATGAAGTATTAACGTATCGACGTTCGTTATTGTTTGTAAGCCTTCTTTCTTGTAAAACGTACAAGTTGTCTTATGTAAGAGAGCAAGGAAATAAAGTCGATTGTAACGAAATGTTTCATTGAAAATTTATTTCTTGCAGTTAGATTTCATACTTCTTTGGGAAGAAATTTTGATCGAGGGAGAGAGAGAGAGAGAGAATTTTTGTTTAAGAAGTTCAAGATCATTTCAAAAGAAGAAACCAGCAATAATTATATTTGGGAAGATATAATGTTTATAATACTGTGTCATTTAAATTGCTTTTTATAGCAGCTCTCTAAAATAATTAGTGCGAACGAATGTTATTTTTATTCGTGTATATAAATATTGCGTTGAACAGCATTTGTTTTTCAAACTTGGCGTCTCAAACTAAAGAGTGGGTCGAGTGAAATCGATATTATTGATTGTAGACAAGAATACTATAAAGTGAAATTAAACTGTTAACTTAAGATGGCAATCTTAAACAAAGTGAAGAGTATGTAAACTCGAAGTAATTTATAAACCACCTATTTTTAGAGGTGTGGCTGTGATACTTTTTTTTTTTTTATAGAGCATAAAAATTACATGGATCACAGCAGTGTTATTTTTAACGAGCGAAGTTTTTCAACGTATATCGATGTAAAAGATACGTAAAGTTATATAAAAGTACGTTATTCAATCTTTTACCTTTATCTTATAACTTTTTTTACTGATTCTCAATTGTTGAAAACCAAATTAATTATGATATATCAATTGTCAATTATAGAAACTGTTTGCACTAGTTATTAAAAAAAAGAGAGAGAGAGAGAAATTGTTGTATACATTCTCTTTGCACAGAAAAATTTGTTTCACTCGTTTCTAAGAAAAATGATATTATTCGAGTATTTTCGAGAAAAACTGAAAAATCAATACATATTGCAACGTTGTTATTTTTAATACAAAATTGTACATATATGGAAAGTGAATGCAAAAGAGAAAGAAATGCACATATATTCGTAATTTCTACAAGAAATTTATATTTCAATCTTGGTGTTTAGACGAATAATTATATAATATAAAATAATATTTACTGTAACATATTTATTCTTTATTATAAATTAATGTCAGTACACACATAATCACGTAGATCCAGATGGTGACAAAATCAACGAATGAAACGTGTCTTTTACATTAATTTTTTGGCATGAAGCGTGCATATACTCAGGTTCTTACAAATAAATAAACAGTTACATTCTTATGGATGTTACAGGAAATAATAATTATGTGGTTTAGTATTAAAAACAAATGTTACTCCATTACCATCGTCTGTTACATGTTACGAATATAAATAATTATGTAATATTTAGCACACGAAATTAATTAACGATAAATACAACAAGAACATGGCTTACACAACTTTTATTCACGAGCCTTATCTTTTTATAATATCTTGCAACAAATATCTTAAAATTATTTTAATATAAATATGGAAAGTAATTGGTTCATAATGTCATTGAATTTCTTTGATCTCTGAGAGCATCTTTTCTTTTTCTTAAATTAAGCAAAGATGTCGGAAAATATTAGACGATAGTGTTAACAGTAATAAATAACGGATATTGTTTTTAAACAATAATTGATTAATTACAGCGATATATAAATAATATTTTGTGAAATGTTTAAAAATATATTTTTATTACTTTTATAAGATAGTCTTCAGTGAAACGTGCAAGAGAGAGAATTCATTAATCTCTTTCCAAGTATTTACATATAATTGTAACAAATACAAGTATAATTAAACTTCCTTGTTAATTTAATAATTTCATCAGAAGCCAGTATAAATAAATAAGATTTTTAATATGAAGAGGAAGTTCATTTCTAAGTAATGCAAAGTTACGATTTTTTTTTTTTTAACTTTAAACGTTTCACTTATTAATTTTTTCTTATAAATTACATTAGTTTGGCTTGTAAATATCTATACAAACGTAATATATAATACATAACAACAAAATATATTTACCAATCGTATCAGTTGATACTTATAACAATCGAGGCACCAGTTTTATTGTAAAATAATTAAAAAGAATATATATATATATATATATATATATATATATATATATGTATCGCGTATAAAATTCTTTTCATGAATTAGAGTTGTTTGTATTTACAATCTACATTTCAATCTATATTTTAAATGGCTATGGCAAATAGATCGTTTGGGAGAGAACTTCTGACAAATAACAGTAACGAAGACTAAATTTCTTGACTAGGCTGGAGCCATTCAATTTTCATAAATCATTTTCGAAAATCACTTGATCATGAAACCTTCGTTTGTCATCGATTCACAATACTGCGATTATTTACAACATGTTCGAGCTAGGCACGATCTCAAATGTTAACGGGCCGTCTCTTCGATTCGAAATTTGTTTTAACCCTTTCACAGCATAACAAAAATGGCAAGATACTCGGAACAAATAATTTAAAGACAAATTGTTTTTGTTCCCAAGATTTTTTATATTTCCATCGAACTGATGAATTTTTAAATCAATGCCTTATAATAGTAAATTTATGCCTAATAGCGATAAATAGATAGAAATTTTTAAAAATGTCGTTCGCGTTACACTGTGAAATGGTTGCTCGAAAACGAAACGAGCAAACTTTCTCTCTAAATGCTCTAACGAGTTTCAGGAGGTTGAACTTTGACTCGTTGCTTCTGGGTACGAGGTGAACGCGATGTTACACGAAATTCAAGAGGCAAATCGTAACAGCGACAGACACAGCAGCTAGGGAACTTGAACCAATCGCTGAAAATGCCACGGCACTCGTTGTTCGGATCGTAAGCTAACAACCGATGAAGTCTGTACTGTTGCTCGCATCTGCATCCGTCTCGACAATACATCTGCTTGTTCTCGTGTCTTTGAACAAACAAAATGACACGAACCGACGGATAAAAATATAACAGTTATTATATAAATACTTTTCATACTTCAATGTTACAATACTTACGTGCATTTCTCCCAGTGAACGTATTGCTCGAAGGGATAAAGATTCAACAGTGCTAACACTTCGCCTCTCGTGTTATTTGCCCAAAATGGAGCAACCACTTCCTCTTTCACCGGGCAAGCGTTCCTGAAATATTTTTGACGTACGTAAAAAAAAACATCAATCATCAGTTGTTTTCAATTTAATCTTATCTTCAGAACAATTCATTCTGCTGATCATTATATTTGTTACGTTATTAATCTTTCGTTAAATTCACTAATTGTAAGTCAAATTCAATTCTCAATTGATAAAAATCAACATTTAAAGGGAGGATTTCCTTCTTGTAAAAACAAGAAGAGAGAAGTCATCTGATCTTCCAATTTCCGCAACGTCGTTCTGTTATGAAAATTAACTCTGTTGATCCAGTTAGAAGCGCCGTTCGAGGAAAAGTGAAACACCGTCGGCATATATAATTAATAACCAGCGGAAGCAAAACGAAAGGAAGCACTTACACTCCTCGAAGCTTCAGAACCGGTTGTTCCTGCTGATCCTTCGCCACGACGTCCTGATACAGCTGGCCTTCCATAGTCGAAGCTTCCGGCTTACCGACTACCGGTCGATATTCCGGTCGTGGCCTGAACTCCTGTTCCTCGTTCGAATTCGACGCCTCACCCTGAACAGTCGTCTCCTTCGAAGGCGTGGCGAACAAATCCTCGACCATCTCTCCTTCGTCTGGCAATTCAGTGACGTTCGGCAAATTGATGGTCGACGTTTCCTCGATGCTCGACTCGGACACATCCGTCACCTCGCCGGATTTCTCCGCCTCCGTCTCGTCAGCCTTGTCTATTTGCTCGGAGATCTCGTTGATGATGAAATTTTGCTCTCTCACCGCGTAAGAGCTGGTTGCCACCGGCGACACTGTCACCCCGTCCGGCGGGTTTCCTTTTTCTTCGTTCGTGCCATTTATCAGTGAACTCGGTGTCGCGGGCGTGGATCGCGTGGTTGGTTCACGGCTGGTCGTGAAGTCGGTCGTTGACAACGTGCTCGACGACGACGACGTTTCCTTGGTGGAGTAGGTGGCAGTGGTGGGCGGTGTGCTCGTGGTGGTGGTCGTCGTGGAAGTGGAGGTGGTGGTCTTCTCGGTCGGCCGGAAATGTGGCCTCGTGTACTCGCTTAATTTCGGGAATTTGTTGAGCCGTTTCGCGGCGTTGTCGTTGAAGGATCTGCTCGTGAAGCTTCGTCCCTCGTATTCGTTGTTGTTTAATCGTAGGCTGTCCTCTGGCTCGTAGTACTCGTAGTCGTGCGTGTACTGGTATTTTCTGGGGAGTTGTTGGTGAAGATGAGAAATTTTTGTTGAATTTGTTACAGAATACTGTGAATATGACTTTGTCAGGGACACCTGAGTTCATTCTACCGAGAAATATTATATTAATATTTAATAAATATTTAATATATATATTAATAAATAATATATTAATTCAGTAATTTTTTTTTTTAGCTAATTACTTACTGACTCTTTTCACAGTCAAGTCATTTATTTATGAATGTCTTTGAGTGAATGAACTTACCTGTGATCATGGTAATAATCGTCGTACTTTAGTTCTATATCGTTCCTCTCGAATTCGGCTCTTAACACATTAATGTGCCTTTCGTCACCGTACATGCGCCTCATTAATCCTTGGTTCTCTTGCACGAAACGACGAACCGCGTGCCTAAAATTATCGAATGACGTAAGATAGTAATTCTTTTAATTAAAAAAAAAAAAAAAAAAAAAAAAAAAACATTTTACTGTCGTTTAATAAATGCAGTCGATTAAAATAAAATTCAGGTGAACCGTGTGAAAGATTTTTAACAATAGTTTATTACACAGATATAATATATCCATTAAACCAGGATATAATTTCAATCAATTTTCATAGTTTCGAGTCTTTCGTACCACCGAGACATGCATTTCTTGAATTAACGCGCACATTGTCGAGAGTAAAAGTATATCGTTTCCCCTCGGAGTTCAGTCACGCACGATTTTAATAACCGAAGCGTACAACGTCATGCTTAAAATTCATGTCAGCAGCGATACCTTTGAACAGTGAAACCTCCAGAATATGTCCCCTGCACGTGTTGCAGCTCAATTAGCTTTCTACTGTCAATGAATGTAGCGTAATTTTCAAAAGAAGTGAACAAAGTGTTATCGTTCACCTTATTTTTCTAACGCTACGACCGATTTATTAATACGATGTAATTCTTTACTTTGCAGTGAAAGAACTTTACGTCAAGTGAAACTCTTCATGAATTTTTAAAAAAATCCTACCAAGGATAAGAGCTACCGGCTACTGTACACCAGTTCTGCTGTCGAAAATCACAAGGTAGATTTGCAAACCGTGCACGGCCAGCACGAGAGTATGGTTTACTGCAAGCCGAAGATGCGTCGTATCCAAAGGTGCTTGGTCCACCTCCTTGACATCTTGCAAGCTGATATGTGATCACCTGTCAAGCAAACATCAAGCTAAAATTATTAAGTATCTGCACTTGTGTCTCTTTTAAAATTTTTAAATTTTATGCGATTTAATACAGAGGGTGTCTCAAAATTCAGCGATCAAGCTTTCATCAGTGCGTTTTATGAGTTAAAATAAAAAAAAGGATGTTATATAAATATAACTACAGAAATTACGATTTACTTTTCACTATGTTATATAAATATAACTACAGAATTACGATTTACTTTTCACTATAAAAATGTAAAAAAATTTGATTTGTATTTCCATTTCGAAATGTTGCTCGAATGCATACTTAGGAAGATTTCGTACATTAAAACAAAGTTAGAAGGACATTATGATATCTCGAAAACGAATCCGTTATTAGATTGACTTATGTTGCAAGTTTTTTTTTTTTTTATTAAGAATTTATGGAGCCATGCTTATAAGTGTAACGTTCTTCTTCTTATTTCAACTCATAGAACATACTGATAAAGTTTGATCGTTTAAACCTGAGATATACTCTATATTTAAAAGGAACAGGTTTCAGTGATTTTACATTTATTTATTTCTTAATCGATCAGTGCATCTATTTCCTTCGTTGTAATCTATGTTGCAGATCGAAGCTTTTTCTGCGAACTTTAATACATACTTCGTATAGTGCCTGATATATTATAAGCAACTTATCTGATTAAAGAAATGGACATTTATTTTATTCGTCGAGTAGTAAACATTTCCCATATTCCTGGCGCATTTTATATATTTCTATATCTTGAAATTTCCCACAAAAAGATTCACAGTTTAGTAATAATTATTGAGTTGAGGTAATGGCCCAAGTTTATGATAATAGTATAAATATCTAGGTTAAATGAGTCAATTTTTTGGAATGCTCGAGGAGAGATGTGACCTTCGTTTTTTTTTTTTTTTTATATATTTAAGAGAAATTTTAAAATGGCCTATCACACGCATATCAAATGTCCAAATTTCCATTTCTCTAGTTATGCTCATAAAAACATAGAAATGCCGAAAAATTCATAGTTTAGCGTCAGCGTCAAAATCGACGCTATTAATTAATATCTTACTCATTAATATCTTACTATTCCTCGCTAAACAGTCTTTCGTACTTTGTATTCTTTTGTTATTCGTATATTCGAGCAATTCATTTATCATTCTCTTTCTTCATTCGAAGTCAATCTGTACAACCGAAGGCATAAATAACTCACGTTCGAAGCTGTCGTGGTTCACAGAATAAACGTGAAAAAGGCGTGAAAACACGCGCAACCTACATACTCGTTATACTTCGTCTAATGAAACCTTCCAAACGAAACGTATTGGTAACGCGCTCACCTGGAGAACGAGACACACGATTACATTCATAACTCGCGTTTGTGACGTGAATTCGATAGTTTGGACCGGCAAGCGTTGTGGTCCGACGATAACAGCTACCAGTCGATCACGCTGCTACTAGTCCGAAGGCGTAAACCGTTTTCAACTGGACAGACTGCTTGCCGGCGTAAAGAAACGACAGGGGCACAAACGAGAGGCGGTGGTACGCGGCTACATGACAGCACCTCCGCACGCGAGCAGGACGCTTTCATTACTGACCGTGTAATCATCAGCCGGCGTCGCGTGCGACAGCCACGGGTTTCCTCGGTAAAAGTACGGAACCAGTGAAGAAGCAAGAGGCCAGCGGACAGTGGTTAGCGATGGGCATTCGAATCTCAGTTTCGAAACGATTTCTTCCTTTCTTTCTCTTTTCGGGTCTCTCAAAATTGCGACTCGAGAGTCTTGGAAGAGTTCCAAGGATTTTTTTAGGGTGGAGTCTCTCAAAATCGGGATTTCTTCGAATGGGATTTGAAAGTCTTGAAAGAGTTCCAAGGATTTTTTAGGGTGAAGTCTCTCAAAATTGGGATCTCTTCGAATGAGACTCGAAAGTCTTGGAAGAGTTCCAAGGATTTTTTGGGGTATAGTCTCTTAAAATTGGGATCTCTTCAAATGGGACTTGAGAGTCTTGGAAGAGTTCTAAGGATTTTTTTTCTGAGTGGAGTCTCTCAAAATTGGGATCCCTTGAAATGAGACTTGAGAGTCTTGGAAGAGTTCCAAGGATTTTTTTAGGGTGGAGTCTCTCAAAATCGGGATTTCTTCGAATGGGATTTGAAAGTCTTGAAAGAGTTCCAAGGATTTTTTAGGGTGGAGTCTCTCAAAATCGGGATTTCTTCGAATGAGACTCGAAAGTCTCCAGTTCCAACGATTTTTTGGGGAATAGTCTCTCAAAATTGGGATCTCTTCAAATGGGACTCGAGAGTCTTGAAAGAGTTCTAAGGATTTTTTTTCTGAGTGGAGTCTCTCAAAATTGGGATCTCTTGAAATGAGACTTGAGAGTCTTGGATGAGTTCCAAGGATTTTTTTTGGGTGGAGTCTCTCAAAATTGGGATCTCTTCGAATGAGACTCGAAAGTCTTGGAAGAGTTTCAAGGATTTTTTTTAGGTAGAGTCTCTCAAAATTGGGATCTCTTGAAATGAGACTTGAGAGTCTTGGATGAGTTCCAAGGATTTTTTTTGGGTGGAGTCTCTCAAAATTGGGATCTCTTGAAATGAGACTTGAGAGTCTTGGATGAGTTCCAAGGATTTTTTTTAGGTAGAGTCTCTCAAAATTGAGATCTCTTCAAATGGGACTTGAGAGTCTTGGAAGAGTTCCAAGGATTTTAATCCTTGAAGATCTCGGTCATTTTAATTCAGGTGGACTTTCAATTTTAATTTTCACAGTTCTTGTTCTCAATTGGTGGATGGGAATAAATTTTCCTTCGAAGTAAGTCAGAAAGGTAGTGGTGAAAATTTGAAGTTTAGAAACACTTGGCAACAAGTTTCCAATCGAATTAAAAGTATTCTGAAAAGGTTGGAACCTCGTGGAATACTAATTAGCAAATTGGAGTCTCTTTGTATGAAACTTGATAATTTAACCTAGTCTTCTCAAAGATCTCGGATATTTTAATCGTTGAGTGGACTTTCAATTTTAGTTTCGTAGCTGGAATTCATGTTTAATCTACACAAAGTTGATAAATGGGAATAAACTTTCCTTTGAAATGCTAAAAATGGTAAAAATTACATTGACACGTGATGAAGATCTGGCAAGAAATTTTCAATTGAACGCAAGTATTGAAAGAGAATTTGAAAACGTCGAAACCTTCAAGATGTACAATTCTAATTCGCGGACACGAAGGATTTTACACGAATACTTTTCGAATACTTGTGTCTGATCGAAAGCTTCATGCCAGAAGAGTATTGCGCTATATATACATATATATATATACAGCTGATTGATATTAAGGTACAAGTTGATAAATGCTCTGAAAGTTTCTCAGACTTATCGAGATCGTTCAACATCTTCAAAATTTACAAAACTCCCAACACTCTCGAGATTTCCAAGATTATCAAGATTTTCGACTATCGAGCCCCATTAGGAGTGATTCAGTGAACGTTTCACGTTCGAGCCGATTCGAAGTGCTCGATGACCCATCGCTAGCGACGACGACGAAGTCCTCGGTGCCGCGGCTCCGGCGTCCGACGGTTCGCTTGACCGAGAAGCAACCGAGACAGAGCCAGAGAAGAGGAGAAAGATAGAGCGCGAGCAAGAGAAGAAAGGAGGAAAGAGAACGGAGGAAGAGAGAGCTCGCGTCACCCCGAGAGTAGGTCACCGTGAAGGGTACCGTTACATTTCGGCCCATTGATGTGTGTCACGGGGCCCCGCAGTGACGTAGCAAGGGCCCTCCTAAGCGCTGGCGCAACGCAGAAACGCTCCTCTTCTCCTCTAGCTCGGTCAATTAGGAGAAAGGTGGCTAACAACGCGTATCCTTCGCGTTCCTGGCTCCGGTCATCGCGAACGGCAATATTGTTGTTCGAAACTTGACGTGATTGCCTGTAACAGATCTTAACCACTTGCGCTGGCAACTGATTTGCGGGCCATAACGACCGACCGAACCGTATACAATAATTTTTCAACTCGTCGGTACGATATCACTTGATAGAAATTATTGAGAAGCAATAAATTTATTATTTTGTTTTACCTGTGTATTTGGTTATACTTAAATATACTTAAAATCGAGAAAATACTTGCACTTTTGGGACGAAAAATTCTCGACGTGGGAAGCACGTCATTCCAGCGCTGGCAACTGATTGCGGACCATAACGAGCGACCGAACCGTGTACAATAATTTGTCGCTTTCTTTTTGAACTCGTCGGTCCGATATCACTTGATAGAAATTATTGAGAAGTAATAAATTTATTATTTATTTTATCTGTGTATTTGGTTATACTTAAATATACTTAAAATCGAGAAAATACTTGCACTTTTGGGACGAAAAATTCTCGACGTGGGAAGCACGTCATTCCAGCGCTGGCAACTGATTGCGGACCATAACGAGCGACCGAACCGTGTACAATAATTTGTCGCTTTCTTTTTGAACTCGTCGATATCACTGGATAGAAATTACTGGGAAGCAATAAATTTATTATTTTGTTTTACCTGTGTATTTGGTTATACTTAAATATACTTAAAATCGAGAAAATACTTGCACTTTTGGGACGAAAAATTCTCGACGTGGGAAGCACGTCATTCCAGCGCTGGCAACTGATTGCGGACCATAACGAGCGACCGAACCGTGTACAATAATTTGTCGCTTTCTTTTTGAACTCGTCGGTCCGATATCACTGGATAGAAATTATTGAGAAGCAATAAATTTATTATTTTGTTTTACCTGTGTATTTTGTTATACTTAAATATATTTAAAATTGAGAAAGTACTTGCAATTTTAGGACAAAAAAATTCTCGACGTGCGTGACACGTCATTCCAGCGCAAGAGGTTAAGGATTCACTACGCTCTTTTTTTTTCATTCCTCTGCTTTCAGTCGACAATTTTCAAGAAGCGTGCGATCTCGGACACCCGTCGTCTGTACCCTTTCTCTTTGGTATGTTTTTTTAGTTGGCGATCGGTCGCTTTTGACGAAAGTACGTCGAGAGACGAAAATCGCCGCTCCTCGCCGAACACTTGAATTTCTAATTCGAGATTCCTCACTCGGTTTTCCTTCTTCTCTTTCTAAATGAATGGATCGATAGGTTCGCTTTAGCTGTACAATTAGGCTAGTTACAATCGGGCATAATATTTATGCGATACTTTGTTTTCACATGTCCACTCGATAGAGGTGTTTAGGTTGATATGAAATGCAGATACGCAAGAGAAAGATATGATCATTAAGAAAATTAATAAACATTATACAAACGACTTGGCGCTCGCTTATTTCAACCCACTTATCAAATTGTTCAAGGATTTGGATAGGATCTTTTCTGTATAAAACTTGATACTCTGATGTCCACTTGTTTAATGAAATTAATAATTAAAATCGTCTCGATGAAAGCACGATAGCTGCACGAAACGACAGTGACGCATCCACGGAATCGTTGCACTTGTAAAGGAATTCTGCATGCAAATTCTTGCCATTCCACGATCATTGCTTGTTCAGTGAATTAATTTATTTGTTTACACAAAGAAAAGAAAACTCGCGGAACACGGTCGTAAAATGCTGTTTAACGAAGTTCCAACGAAACTTTCCGCGTGTTCCACTGACCTCAAAACCACTGTCACTTGGAATCTCTTTCACTGAATTTTTTTGCTTTTGCGCGATGGTGGAATCCGATCGTTGGAAGATATGGCTGAAATGTGCAACCGCTTTCGTTACCGCATATCTACGCGTCAATCGATAAATTAAAATACATCAATATTGCAAATAACAATACGTTTATCAGTTATCTTTATTTACAAATGACAACTTATAAATTCGTAGAAATTGCTTTTAAAATTAAGAAAACAGTTTCATTGTGTTAAAACAGGAATGATTAAATAAGGTACATAATAGTCATAAAATATCAGTGAAGAAATTGCAGTGAAGCTAGAATAAATGATCTTTCCTTTTTTTAAAATAGACTCATAGTGCGTCTTCTCTTCGATTAGTTTTCCAATTATAAAAAATGAAAGTACATGGACACGCAATTGACTGTGAAATATAACATATAAAATATAACTGTGGTATTATTCTATCAAGAACAGATCAACAGCACCGTGTGTGTAACATGTGATTTGTAACAATTTGTTAAATTCTATTTCGAGCGTCTCTTAGCTCACGTCTCCATATCAGTTTTTTTATTATCGAACACGATGGATCAATAGCCTTAAGGTGATACGTACTATTACACTTTACTATTCCGTTAGATGGATAGTATTGGATTATTGGAGCATCGTTTCGCTCGATTACCAGTTGGCAAAATACCAGTTTGCCGTTGGTGAACGCCAGATACTGGTTCTTGCATCTTCACCTAGAAATAGAAAAGAAAGCTGCCCGTCGTGTACTCGTACACGCCATTAGGCGATTTCTGTTTACGCTACGATCTCTGATAACGCTGTTTTGAATCTTCATTAACGGTGTTGCGTGGACTCGGTGGAAACGCGCGCGAATAAAACGGCATCGTGATCGTGGAAAAAAGAAAAAAAGAAAAGAAATTGGAAAGAATTTGCTGAGCGATTAAAGTCGCGACACATGATCTCAAGGCTTCTCGTATCGTACACATGATTAGTTGATACAATTTTAATATTTGCAATTTGAAATATTTTTTTATCGATGCTCGGATCAATAATCTGAAGGATTTATTAAGTAATGAAAGAAGAGATTAATCGAATCAGAATTTATGGAAATAAGAAATAAAGAGGGAATAAGGAAGATAAGATAGTTGTACATTGCACGAAGCTTTATATCTAATTTCGTGAAGCATTTCTATACAAGGTATAAGTGGTTGAGAAAAAAAATACTCGTCAATTATATGTTATCTCCTTTCTTTCATTAATTGGCAACATTTACAAATATTTTTTGGTTACAATTTGTCATTCGTTTTGAAGTGTAGCAAACTATTATTAATTTTACATCTAAATTTAGAGGAGATATTTCAAACGGTGATCACAAGGTGAAGTTCGGTTGGAAGGAAAATGAAATAACAAATTTAAGAAATGCGACGGTGTATTTTTTTAAGATTGTACTTGATTCTTATGTATGTCCTCTATAACTTGACAGTTTTACGTTAAAATGGATATTTCACGATAATGTGTTATTAGTATAATCTAGAAGGCAAATTGATCAATTCCATTTTTTTTTTAAATTCTTTAATTTCAGTATCAAATTTTAAGAGCAAAAATAAAAATTTTTTGCATATACTGAATGATGTTCAGTTTCTCAGAAATCGAACGATCGACTCGAATAAAATTGATCAATTAGTCTTTCATGTGGCTGAATTACAAGGCAGTAATATGCTATTGCAAAGCGATATTTTACAAAATATACATTATCAATTATTTAAGTTTCTCATCGTTCAAGGAGTATTTAACGGTATACAATGATCAGTCGGAAATAGTTTAACAAACTACATATTACTAAATATAAATTCCCCGGGCATAGGCGAGTAAAATTCTTTTTAATTCCAACTTGCACGCTCTATCTTGTGCTTAGAAATCACAACGTTTACATTTTCACAATATAATTATCAAAAATACGTGTTTCCCTTTATCAGCACTGGACTATACTAAATGCCTTTTGATGAAAATTTTGTCTGTTATCGTCGATGCAATTATATTATACACGCGGGTACAGTGAACGTTCACGCGTTGCATCTAAGAGCGTCTTCTCGCGGTTCGATTATCTCATCGTTTCCATTATCTTTGCTCTTTTTAAATGTCCACAGTCCTCCAATGTACCACGAAACGACGCAACACAGGCTTAATACCGACGTGAAATGAAGAGCAGCCACGTAGCTCATCGTTTGGTCGTGCGCGAAACCTTGAATACAAACAAACAGCACAGTTTAAAAAAAGAAAAAAAATTATGAATCACGTAAATGATACGTAATTCATTGACACATATGTAATTATTGGATTAATGTAAGAATATAATATAAAAGGAGAAACTTCTGAGCATAGCGCATTGTTACCTATAAGCGGACCTATGACAATGGATAATATACCATTGCAAACCATTTGCATTCCATATGCAGCTGGTAGTCTTTCAAGAGGTACGTAGTCGGGAATTATTAACGTCTGGAAGACAGCTTTCGTTCCTTTAGCTATTCCGATAATTAACGCAACGCCGATTACCACCATGTAGGTACTGCCCCACGTTGATAATACTGAAAGTTGAGTTTCTCTCGTGAAAAATTAATTATATAATTAACTTTGTATACATTAAACATATATAATGACACATTACGTTTTGCTCTTAAATGAAAACTGACTAATTCTGATTCTCAAATTGAAATTAATGTTTCATAAATTTGGACCTGTTTGTCGGAATTTTATTCAATATATTCGATACACTTCGTTTTGATTGTCATATTTGATTTTTATCAATGTATTTGTTAAGTTAAATCAACGAAAAAAAGAAAAAAAAGAAGGAACTCTCGACAAAATTCCATCAAGATATTATCAAAGTGAAGAATTAGAAACGAAGGGAAGAGGAGAGTATCATTCATAAAGAGTCCAATATATCCGTCATTTTTCCATCTGTGCAGATTACCATAAAGCTGAAATCAACCCACCCAGCAGATCGTAAATTCGTTGCCGTGAAGGGGTCGATTTCTCATTTTCGAATATTTTACGTTGCTGTACGTACTGGTCCTTCCAACGGTGGATCCAATCAAAGACAGCACGTAAAGGTTCCTAGATGTCCAACCAGCTTTGTGGGCAAGAAGAGGAACGCAAAGACGTCCGGTGATGTCTGAGATAGCTTGGATCGACATTACGGTTGCGATCGAATCCCTTTCAAGACCGGCAAGTTCGGTTAGCACGAAAGGGATCATCATGTTAAAGTTTGTTTCGGCGACTAAAGACACACCCATACCTGTCGCAAATCAAATGCAAGATTCATGTAAACATGAGCTAATTACTATGATTATAGTATATAATTCGATATTACTGCTAAATTAGAAAATCTGCTTTTACGTCGTATAAATATTTGCTGCTTGTATGTTTCATATCGAGAAACATGATAGGTTAAAAAAAGACGCTAATCGTCGACGAGATTATTATTGTAATGTCGAATACAAGTGTTTTACAGTCTTTTAACTGAGATAATGATTTGTAAATTATTTTTTACATGTTATTTCATACTAATTTTTCATTCATTTTTTTTTTTTTTTTTTTTAATGTACTGATTTCATTCGTGTCTTAGTATTACTTTGGTGATCTTGTAATAAGAATTTATATAACTATACATGTATCTTTGTTATTATCTTTCATAGAATACGTATCAACGATTACACTGATTATAACGTAAATTATATTAAAATATTGCTATCTTCAATATTCTCTTATCTGCTTGTTTTTATTCGGACGTAGTTTGATATAGTTATCGCACCTTTTTCTTTTTACCGATCAATGCACTTTTAAACTACGATAAATCATAATCTAGCTATCCTGCTGTTCACTTTCGTTGTTAAGTAAATAATTATATATTTGCAGACTTGGTTATCTCAATTACGTTTTTCTATTATTATCAACATATGTTTGTTCGTGGACAATAAAGAAATTTTAATAATGATTCAAGCACCAAGATTCTATAAATTTTCCTTCTTGGTTATTATACGTTTCTCCGTCCAGAATCTTTATATAAAAAACGATGACGTGACTATATAATCTTCAACCTCTTACTTGCTGTGACTGTTCTTTTAAACAAGTTTAGAAGAATTACCTAGGATAACAGCGACATAACGACCATCCTTTAAAAGAGCAAGATCCATATGCTCCGTTATCTTTCTCAAAATCGACTTCTTCTCTTCTTTCGTACTCTCGTTAATTACATTTCCCGACAAATGCTCCTCGGCATTACTCGTCTTTCGTCCCGATGTTTCTTCCAATAGTCGACAACTGGCACCAACGTCAGTCACATTTCCGGTTTCGTTCGCTAGAATTTTGTCGTTGCACTCTGCGGAAGAGGCCGTGATGTCATTGTCCTTTGTTATACTTGTAATCTATTGCAAATCAAAGCTAACCGTGAACGTTAATCGTTGCTACCTTTGCGCAATTTTAAGAAGACAGTGAACAATAGAGCTCCATTCAAACCATCTCGAAGTTATCATTTCAAGATGGTTTGAATGGAAAAATAGGCTGCGAATGCTTATGCACTTGTAAAAAGAAACATTGCATGCGATAGATACAAATACATATAAAATGATTAAAGTAAAGTATTTAAACATTCACGGGTGAAACTTGACATTTTCTTCGCCGTCGTTCTAATCGAAATTGGATGATTCTTCGATCAATCGATAGAACAATTTGGCAAAATTAATTGTTGAAAATATATAAAATTGAAATATGGATCATATCATTCAATTCGGTGTCCTCTTAACAGATAACGCTTGTTAAACTTACTTCTTTTTTCCGAAATGGTTTCAGTAACGCTGCACCGATCAATGAGTGCATTGCTATGCCCGCGATGATCAAAAGAGTCCCAGTGGTAGCGTAAATTTCCAATAGTTTCGCTACTAAAAGCGGCATCAAAATAGGTCCAAGGCCGGTCAAAGTTACCGACAACCCCATAGCCACGTTACGTTTCTTCCGAAAGTACGTGTTCATTGCCAGATTCGTCGCTGGAAACATGATGCCATGACCGATACCTATAAATTACAATTTGATATTAATATCTATGCTGTCCCGTTGAAACTGCTCTCAAAATCTCGTACAGTGTCCCTTCCTTTTAAAAAGCAATTCAAAAAGATGTGCTAGTATTATTTATAAAAAAAAAAAAAAAATAGTTTCATTTAAAAGATAAAAAGAGATCTAATCTTGGAAAGAGTCTATTGCTACAATGTTACAATTTAAGTACTTGTCAAGATCCACTTATTGTGCAAATGCCCCTTATCTTTTATTTAATCTCTTAATATTTGTTATCTAGCAAATCAACCGTATCATGGTTGGTTGTCGACAAGTTTTTACCTCGAGCATTTCTGGTTTTTGGCAATTTAAGAAAAAAATTCAGACGGAATTAGAAAGAATAATGACTTCTTTGAGTAAATGAATATTCGATCCGTCATATTATCTTCTCATAGTATCATGAACTGCAATCAACTTCAAAAACTGTGAAAGTTACACAATTATAATATTCTCGTTTCTCAAAGAAATTTGCCCGTAAAAACAAGAATTGCTTCGAGCAGTTCGAGCAGAAATAAATATTATCCTATAAGTCGTATATAAACTAAAAAATGTATATGCTTGCAACACGTTCTCCTGCTATAATATTTAATACAGAACGCTTCTCACGTCGCGGCAAAATTTATTTGTCTGCCTTTATTTTCACTTTTTCCCGCTTCGTTTACGTTCTCGTGAGCATGAGACTAACGCGAGGATTGAAATAAAGGCAAAAGATGGCGATGGAGATTACTTACCGACGATAAAGCAATAAGTGATAATGATGGAGGGCAGTGAAACCGCGAACGCAACCGCACAGATTCCAATGGCAACGATGACACCGCCAAGAAAAGCGACCCTTCGGAACGTAAACCTCTTCATCATTGGACCGCTTATCAGACCAAGGCTGCTCGTGATTGTGCCATTTAAATGAACAATTAGCGATGTCTGTGTGGCGGTGATATCGAGTGAAAAGAAACGTTCTCTAAAGATCAGACCGAAGCTTTGTTGTATCGGTAGTATCGCCAGCTGTAACATAGTCATTTTTCACAGGTCATTAAAAATGACGTTTGCGCTTACATGGTGCAATGTAAAACTGTTTCAGGTCTGTTTGAAACTGCCTTATGGTATAATAGTATTTTGATATTACAATTGCAAATAATTGTACAATAGTATTTTGAAACTGCCTTATAGTACAATAGTATTTTGATATTACAATTGCAAATAATATTACAATAAAATAATGATAGCGTATATAAATCATTTTTACAGTGGTACGATGTTTCCATTAACAACTTGTATTACCAAACATTCTGTGAATAAATGTGAGAGGATCTGGTAATTCACTGGATTTTCGATATATGTTACACGTGTTTTGATAAATTGTCGTTTGATTCACTTAATATCTTTTTTAATCAATATGATAAATGTCACCTACGTCCGACAATTAAGAAGTTAATACTTAGGTAGATATAATTTATTTTCAGAGAAATATATCTATTTCTCTATTTCTGTATTTCGTACTGATTGTATTTAATAATATTGCGTGAATAGTTCAAAGAAAAAGAGAAATAAATGGGACCGTACAGTGTACAGGAAATAAATCGACGTTTGAAACTTCAAATATAGAAATATTATGTTAATATTATAATATTAATATAAAATATAAAAATATTATATTAATATTATAATATTAATATATAAAAATATATTATTTTCTTTATCCTGTTCTTTTAGTGGTTTTATAGTGAAATACGTTTAGAATATTGATTAGAAATGTAGCTTATTGTTAGACATAAACGTGATTGTAAAGTCAAGTTCAAATATTGGGGAACTGACAAATTTAATAATATAGAGTTTATTTTCACTTATTTAAGAACAGATAGTTATAAGTAATAATTATATAGCAGATAGAATGAAATTTTCAAAATATCGATATACATACATACACAGAATTTTAAATAAATTTAAATTTAAATTTAAAAATATTTGAGACAGATATGTGCAATATACAGAATGAGTCATAGCAACACTTTTTTGACTGAACGATTTTTAATTTTTATATTCTAAAACGAGGCGAAAGTAAACACACTTCTGTCCTTATATATTATAAACACATTTCTGTCCTTAACAGTTTGTTAGCTGGAATCTTTGTGCGAAACTTCAGAATCTTTATGTAAATTGTAAAGATACATAAAAATATTCCAGATAGTTTAATCACAACTTTGTGAGAAAAAATCATAGAACAATCAACTTGAGCTTACTTTAAAGTACGAAGCTTTTACTTTAATAGCCATGACATTGTTTTCTTTTTAAATATTTCAACACTCTATAGTAAATGGAAAAGCGGGGAATACTTTTTTTTCTCTTAATTGCAAAAGTTCAAACGTCTGTAGAAACATCGCAACTAAATCTAACATCGTTCTAAAGATTGAAGTTTCTCGTCTACAATAGTTTCTTAAAACCTGCTGTACAATTTTTTTTGCACAAAGCTATAACAATCGACAAATTTTCATCGAGCGTTCGAATATTTTTGCGGATCAGCATGCATGATAACAAAATATTTTAGTACACGTTTTAATATTTGGCAAGTAAGACAGTTCTCATTTAGTGTTTATAAAAGTGTAAATTTTTAGTATAATCATCCGCAGTCTAACGATATCCGGATAGATGACAGATGTGACTGGTAGAATATAAGACTTGAAGAAAATAAGGGAATTTAGGGAAGACTCACGTTAATGATTGTCACGCTGGCGACGATTATCCACGCCCAACCTTTATCAGCTTCATCCCGCGACATCTTGTCGATCATCATCGGCATTCCACTTCCATTTGCACGTCACGGTTCCTGTAGGAATGGCAAGCGCACGTCGTGAGGGATCCTTTGTTTCTATCGACTTGCCTTGAAGCCGATGACAGACTGCAAACTTTAACGTGTCGACCAAATACAAGATGGTATTGGACAAATGATAAGATACGAACTGCTCTGGATAAGTGTTAGACATGATATATACGCCTACGCGTGTATTTATATAAAACGTGTTTACAACTCTACAGTAAAATCGAAACGAGTCGGGAGCCAACGATGTCCGGCACGATTCTTTACTTGGGGATATCCGTGCCAATTGTTATTATTTAATTATACGAGGAATATAATTAAATAGGTTGAAAATTGTCTTAGCGTTATAATTTTGGAGATTTTTGGGGAGATAATTGTTTTACTGATATCTTGGACGTTTCAGGCAGGAAATTGTATTGCTTACTATATTGTATATGTTTCAGTAAAATAACCAGATACACAAATAGAAAATTACTTTACTATCATATCTTTAGGCAGAGAATTGTTTTGACACCGCGTTTTGGATATTTTAGATAGAAAATTGTTTCGCTACTATATTGTGGATAATTTAAATAAATGAAAAATTACTGTTGTATTTTGGATATTTTGCAAGCTACCAGGTGGAACAAATTGTGTCTCAAACATCTCACATAGTTTTGCATAATACCGTATGCAATATAACAGCTCTCTTTTATCAATATCCCAATCATTCAAACTGATAAAATTTCGTTTGAATGCAGTTACGAAAACAAGTTTCGAAATCGTGTGTTCGTGACGCTTACGTAGGTGTACGTAGGTATTATATGAACCGTTTATAGTTCCGTAACTCCACAGAGAACACGAAACGAGTCACTGTTTGAAGAGTCAATGACGTTCGGTCATTGTTTTTTATTCGTAATTAAAGTGTGTCTTTATGAAGAGTTAATTTGCATGTTTTAACTTGATGTCTGAAAATTGACAAAGTGCATATATAAATTATTTGTAATTACGATGGTGGAGAAGTAACAAATTTAGGTGATCTTATTATTATTAAATTAATTACGATTTATTAAGCGTCACTAAGTCAAGAAATTTAATTTCTTTATTGGTTTATTTATTTAATTAATTATTCTCTATCGGTAAATTTACTGAGTGAAAGTGAAGTCATTGACTTCACACCAATGACTTTCGGCCAGCGGTGCCTCCTCCAAGCATCATTACAAATGATTAATTAAAAATTTTAAATAGCACTTTAAAATTTTTAGAGGAGAATTTATTGTTTAATTGTCATATATACATATATGTTTTTATCTATACCAACTTACTGTATCGCTTATATAATTCACTTCCTTAATTTGCAAAAAAAAGGAATAATTTTCAAATTTATTATATTGTATTGTTATAGATTAAATATATATATGTGTGTGTGTGTGTGTTTATGTATATTAAAATTTTATCTGTTTATATAATTATTAACTTCAAGTATGTATTATTATAAGATAAAAGAAGATACTGAGAAATATAAAGCATATTTTTATCATTCAACACTTTGTTTGCTATTCGTAAAGTGTTAGTAAATTTTGATCTATTACAGAATACTTTTTACGAGTTTATAAACGTAAAGTCTGTAAATAGATAGCAATAGATAACAGAATAGCGAGAAAATTTTTGCTAAATTACATTCATATTTTGAAACATTTCAGACACGTATTCCTTTACTAACATTATTTGTAACTCAACGATTAAAATGATCAATTCTTCTTAATTAATTATTCGTATTTAATAATTTTTAATTAATCTGATTAATTTTCGCAAACAAGGAAAAAGTATTATATATATTTCTAACATATTTAATATTTCCTGTAATATATTTAAAAAATAATTAGCAAAGCGAATAATATTACAAAGACTTACAATTAGAGATTTTAAAGATTTTAAAAATCGAAAGAGGAATTTAAATCTTTAAAAATGCACGAATTAGTTATAATTCACTGTGTAGGTAGTTTCAGTGTTAATGACACGTGCCTCAGCTACAAAGAATGAACTTCTCTCTCTATTATGTATCCTATTTTAGCCCATTGTTTAATAATAGTTTGATGATCCCCGTTACTAATTTGTTCAACTAGCATTTGACTCAAGTGAAAATGACCACTTGATGTACGTGGCACTTTTTCTTAGCCTCGGACGTTTAATAGGATTCAATTGGATTATGAATTTTGTGAGACGTTTAGTAAATGTTAGTTGAGAAACTGTATTTCAATTCCTCGTTGTGTTAAAAATGATTAATTGTTATTTAAAAAATTACAGATTATTCGATAGAATAATAAAAAGAATAAATTTATAAACGTAATTCGTGTTATGAAATAATTATAGTTTCTAAAATCGTTAGATAAAAGAATTTATAGTTCTTTACGATCCTCTGATTATTACCTATCTTTAATTTATTTTATTATTACCTTCACTTTTTGATTACTTTTATATTTTAAATGATCGAAGTACATATATTACTGTTTTCCTTCTCAGACATGCTTTCAATTCTTAACATAATATAATCTGCAACATTATCGCATTTAAATAAATCAAAAAATAAAATGAAAATTATTTGTAAACAGGTAAACGAAGATAAAGTAAATTACTATATAAAACATGATTTATTAAATAAATAAATGAATTTAATGCAAAGTAAATAAAATCAATTATAAGGTAAATGAATTTCACACGAAAATGCGAGTTAATCAATTAATTTTATTATAGAAACATGTGTTGGCATTCTTCTTAATAAAATAAAGCGTGAATTAGGTCAGGAAAATTACTTCAATAGAGCATAGGTCAGGAAAAATACGTCGTTTTAGAACACGTAACGTGAGAAGAAAAATCTAATTAATATACCTGACCTTTCATTTACGTAAAGTATTAAATATTCATAAGGAGGTTGTTTTGAAGACAAAAAAGAAACACGATTAATTATTCATAGCGAGCGATAACAATCTTCATTACATAAACTAAAAGTCTCTCAATTGCGCGCCAAAGAAATACTTACAATTCCCTTCGAACAAAATGTAGTTCCTCATTTCTCGTCGCATTGCTTCGATCATCATGACGTTAACGCGTTAAACGATTACATTGTTGCATTTCCACTTGGTTCATTGCCAGCGTTTGAAAACACGTCGTTCTCCGAACGAGAACTAAACAACGTTCTCCAACGAACGACGAAAATTACGACACACTTTCTCAACGCGTTTATTCATTCAAGAATGGCGATGGGTCCTCTGGCGAAACACATCCTCGGAAAACTTTTCGCTGGCGGCTCTTTGCACCGAAGGCGCAAAAATAAGCAAACATGTGCTCCGAACGGAGCTACGGACTATTTGTGACTGGCTCGATGAAGGGAAGTCAGCCGATAAAAACCGGCTTCGTGACTCGACTCCGGGCCGAGCCTGATGTCTCTGACTCGCGGCATTTATTTACGCGTATCGCTGAAAACTGCGGTTCTACGTGCCCCGCTGCACGGACAATCGAAACTTATAAACGTAAAATGATCATTCGCGATGATTTCAAAAGTTTACGAGTGCTTGGCAGTAAATTTAAATATCAAAACTAGTAGCTAGAGTAATGGACGATCCGCGTGACTTGGATCACCTCGAATAATAACTTTCGAGGTACACGTTGTATGAAAAAGCTTCTTTTACACGAAAGTTGCATGATTTGAAAAAGCACATTATGCGATGCAATGTATTCTCTCTTTTTTTTTATATAGATCAAGGCGTAAATGGAATTTTAATTATGTTTAAATGGAATGTGAGTTTGTTTGAAAATTATCCTCTTTATTAACATACAATTTCAATACGTATAATTTTAATTACAATAACAGTGCTTACGAGTGCTTGGCGGTAAATTTAAATATCAAAATTAGTAGTTACAGTAATGGACGATCCGCGTGACTTGGATCACCTCGAATAATAACTTTCGAGGTACGCGTTGTATGAAAAAGCTTCTTTTACACGAAAGTTGCATGATTTGAAAAGGCACATTATGCGATGCAATGTATTCTCTATTTTTTTTTTTATATAGATCAAGGCGTAAATGGAATTTTAATTATGTTTAAATGGAATGTGAGTTTGTTTGAAAATTATCCTCTTTATTTAACATACAATTTCAATACGTATAATTTTAATTACAATAACAGTGCTTACGAGTGCTTGGCGGTAAATTTAAATATCAAAATTAGTAGTTACAGTAATGGACGATCCGCGTGACTTGGATCACCTCGAATAATAACTTTCGAGGTACACGTTGTATGAAAAAGCTTCTTTTACATGAAAGTTGCATGATTTGAAAAGGCACATTTTGCGATGCAATGTATTCTCTATTTTTTTTTTTTTTTTATATAGATCAAGGCGTAAATAGAATTTTAATTATGTTTAAGTGGAATGTGAGTTTGTTTGAAAATTATCCTCTTTATTAACATATAATTTCAATATTTAATTACAATAACAGTTTAAATTCAAATATATTAGTTTTTGTCTAAAGAGCTAGGGAAATATTGTACGGATATAATAACCCGACTAGTACGTAATTTTTGTACATAAGATTACAGGTGACTAGGACAATTTTTCTCAGCCCTTTCACTTTAAATTTTCATCGGAATTTCTACTTCAAATGTCAGGTACATGTCATTGTGCGAACCATAATATGAAATAATTAATATCGTAGTATTTAAATGAATATTATTAATTACATTCATTTCATTTCAATATATTTAGTTTGAGATAAAAATTAACTTCGTATACGAAAGTATTCCTTTAATTTCTTAAGTAATATTAATTTTGTGAACTAACATTGACACTCACTAATTATTTCGATCAAAAATAAAGTTTCATATTTTTAATAAATTAGACATTAGACCATACTACATAGATGAGGTATTTAAAAAGTTATGGTTAATAATATTAAAAGTTGAAATATCATAAAGTTGGATACACAAACATAACTTAACTTTCGAGATATTATACATATTTAAAAAATAGTTACATATGTGCAAAATACGCTTGTAAGTATTTCTACATTACTGAAATATTATTAGGCAGAATTATCAAATATAGAATTATCAATTTTCATCTCTGCGATTGTTGCTAGGTAGTGCAAACAGTGTTGTGAAATATCTTTCACAATTAGTATAAATTTTTATAGAAAATAATACGTGATGGAATAATACAATATTCACATATAGAATAAAAATAATAGAATATTTCGATGAAATCGAAATTTGTGTTCATTGGCTGGTCGAGGCATGATAAATATTTGTTATCTAACAAATAAAATTTTGCTTAAAACTCCAGCCTAATTTTTTCTTATGAAATCTCGATGATGATTATTCTATCACCGCGTTTCGCGCTTGTTTAGCTAAAACAGCTCGTCTGTTTTTCAATTTTTTGTACATAAACTCGATACTCCACGTAATGAAAGTGACGCTTGTCATTAGTGTCATGACGTGTATACAAAGTGCATAACTGTCGCTGACGTCTCTGATGTATCCTAAAGAAGAAACGAAAATCGATTAACGTAAAAAAATTGCCATCATATCTAATAATAATGAGACATGTATAATCTGATTCTCCGAAAATTCTATCTATAATACGTGTCTTAAAACAAACGATAATTTTTAAAATTTCAAATGCCTAAAACCGAAGTGTACGAGCACATAATTTCGTTAAAACTTACCAATTGCAGGACTCAAGATTACAACGAATAAACCTTTAAATACCATGAACATTCCAAAGGCACTGGGCAGCTTGTTCAAGGGGCAGTATTCAGAAACGGTAAGATTCAAATTGACCAAAGTGGCGCCACGTAGAAATCCTATTACCACGAATGTTATTATCAAAAATGTTCCTCTAGATTGCGCTGCCATTGCTGAAAAATACGACCAACAAGAATTAGTAAGAATGAAGCTGAGGATAAGAAAATACATTAAAAAAAGAAAAAAAAAAATTCGCAATGGATGAAAATGGAAAACTTTTTAATTTGTAGATTTAGTAATTTCTACATAAACCAACAATTCAACAGATATAAGTTCTAGTAAAATACTCACTGGAACGTCCAACTCCAACGAAAATGCAAAATACCCAAAAGACGATTCTCTTTCTGAATCCGAATCTGTCGAATATAGTTGGGAGTAGAAGGCGTGCAAGGATGTCGGTGAACGCAGTTATCGACAAACAAGAGGCAACTTCCGCTTTGCTCATTCCTGTCGACCATCAAGTTCCTTCGAAAAGTCTACCGAAATATAACCTAAAAAATGGCGCACAGTGGAACGAAATACGAAGAAATCGCGACCAAACAACGAAAAATTGATTTCAACATCGCCTAATTTACTTTTCAATAAAATTTTACTTTCCATAAAATATATCACTGAAATATTTTAACCCTTTTCTTTTATAAATATTAATGGATATTACTAAAATACATAATACGAGGTAAAAACAATAATCGCAATCAGACGTGAAGGACGAAATTAAATAAATCAGAAGGTGGATCAGCTTCTGGTTGAACAAATAATTAGACATGATCATGTCAATGAAGATGTAAACAGTTTTTTTGGACAGTTTAATCCGTCAATAAAAATTTCCATTTTCGTTTCTTCCCAATATTAATTTCCACCATGAACTTTTACAATTTTTGGACAACATTCGTCGCACTTTTCTCGAAGTTTCGTTCCACCGTATGCCGCAGCCAGGATGTTAGATAAGGAATAAAACTTTTTTGTATTTCGTAATTCATTAATTGCAACGTTCCGATCTAACGTCTCTATTAATTCCTTCGATATTTTTCTCTTTGAAGGGGAATTAATACGTATTTGCATCGGAATTAAATTTTAATTAACTTTAACAACATCCTCAGCTACGGTACCAATTTTACGTTCGTTTCTAAAGAGCTACTTACCTATACTAGTGAGGAAGAACGGTGTCATTAGCTTGAAGTTTGATTCAGCGACGTAATGTAAACTCAAGCCAATAACGATGTTTAGATAGACGCCGTCTTTAAGCAAGTCTAAATCAAAAGTTTCCTTTATCTTCTTAAAATATTCATTTCTCGACTTTTTTTTTACCTCCTCCGTTTTATCATACTCTACCATATTGTTCTCGGAGTCGCTTGTGTCACATCCCGCTCTTTTTACCATTCCGTTGCTTTTTAGTTCTAGTAACGTGTCATTTCCGAATGTGTTATTCACACGCTGCTACAAAACGATATAGTCGTTCGTCAATTTTATATTTACGTCATCGATGTTTATCGGATGAGAATATTGTTTAGAAACGATAAGACTAGACGTTGTCGGAAACTAAATCTAATTGATCGAAACACTAAAATTTCCACTGAAATAGAAAATTTCTCGTTTCACATTCGTTCATTATGTCGGAATGTCCGAACGATTAATTGTTAATGCGATCTACTTTCTAAAACGAGAATGAAATTATACTGTTTAAAAAGAAGAACATTACACGTTAATAATTATTCCAACTTTTCCTTCAATATTTATCTTACATCAATATCATATATATATTATTAATAAACAGAATGATCGATAACGTTACTGTAAAATTGCCAGATAAAATTGATAAATTTCTGTTCGATAAATCTCTTCCAAAACTTTATGATATTTTGAAAGAAGGAGTTACAACATTTTCATACTTTGTAATGAAAAACTTCCCTGTTTCAATAACTTTGCAATGAAAAATTTTTCTGCTTCAATACATCTAAAACTCAATGTATCGAAATAACTTAATATTATCCATATTTTCGTAGTAATATAATATATTGCTGTATTAATTAAATAGAATTAAGTAGAACTTCAATTTACCTTTGCGTCAGCTTTCGTACTTTTAATTTCAGTGTTAAGTGGACGTAACAAACAAGCGCCAACCACGGAATGCAACGCCCATCCTCCAACGATCAACATCGTTCCACGAAATCCATATGAACTCAGAAGAAGATGTATCAACTGATAAACGAAGAAACAAATCATTCATCGACGCAATTGTTTTACATTCGCCTACCAAAGTCATTCTTAACAGATAGAAACAAGAATGAACTTATCGCATTACGTGTTTAGGAAGATTACAGAACGAGTCGCGTGTTTCTTTTTTCCCCCAAGGGACACTATCGTATCTCGAATCTAAATCAAAACTAAAACTGTGTTTCGTACTTGAGGTACTATCATCATGGCCAGAGTTGTTCCTGCCATAGAAAAGCCGACGGCTTGCCCTCTTTTCTTGTCGAAAAATGTGTTCAACGCCACGAACGACGAGGCGATGGCTAGTCCAGTTCCCAAACCTGTCGCAAGTGTATGAAAATGAATGAACCGATGCATAGAAAATGTCTTGATTTATTTAAGCTTTTTTTTTTTTAATCGTCTTTTGATCTATACGTCAAACATTGTAAGTAAAATTTATAGAGGGAATAGTAGAATCTGTTGTGAATCTCAGCAATTTAAAACGTACATTCTGAGGGAACTACGTATGATTAAAGGTTTATTTAAGAAGATTTGTTTGATATCTGATGTAACATCGTGGCGTAAAAATACGTACAATTTACATGTAAAATCTTGGAATTAACGTGTTAAAAGGCAAAGGCTTATCTTGTTTCCTCACCTCCTAAAACGCTGTAAGTGCAAACAATGTGGAGCATGCTATTAGCTCTCGACGTCAATATCAGTCCGGTACAGCTCAAAAGAGATCCGAAAAAAGCCACTTGTCGATAAGAATACTTTTTCAACAACGGCCCTACTAAAAGACCTAAATTATGATAAAACGAAAGAGAATTATAACAAGAAATGCAACAGCAACTAATGAGAAAATAATTGCGCCTTACACGCATATTGAAAATATTTAAAATTAACGATGAAGTATTGTTTTATTACACAGAAATTTTGTTTCAATTTCTATATTTTACGATACAGGAAATAATACTCGTTAATTAGTTAGTTATACTTGGATTAAGTTACGTTATACTTGGATTTACTTTTTATTTCATTAAATGCAAGATCTAAAATGCGAAAATACCTGAGAAATTAACGATAGCGTCGAGAATGCTCATTACGAACGACGCTCCTGTGGAGTCAATGTCGAGTTCCTCAAAGGGATCGTGGAAAAGGAGACCAAACGAGGGATCCAGAGATCTTAAAGAGAGCTGGAAAACACGGAATTGTAAAATCTTTTATGCATCGTATCCTCTGTGCTGTTACAAGCATCATATTATTTTTCGCATTTTCACGGAGATTCAATGGAAATATAGATGTAAATGGTAATTATCAATCACACTTGGTAATTATCAATCTTCTATGCATCATCAACGTCACCAAGTGTACTTTTATTGATTGTAATTTAATTGTGATTCAAAGTAATTTAATGCAATTATATTGCATTATATTATGTAACATATAGTTATAGTAATATTCACAATAAAAATAATCGAACATTCAAATAATTGAATTGCAAATAATTGAACATTGTTCATTCTTAATCAAAAGATTTGAAAGAAGATATATCCAAATCGTAAGTGAAAATTCAGTCATGTGATGCGGACGTTTCTACAATAAGCAAGATAATCAAATTCAGATATGATGAAGTAAAATGTAAGCAAAGTTCATGTACAGTGCCCCACCGAAATTATGCGAATGCATGCAGTGAATTTTCATGATTACATTACGTAATACGTACTTCGTGATGTTATAAATATATTACATAATTCAATGTATTTTGAGAACGTGAAAAATATGGCTGCATTTGAAACAAGTCTGAAAATACGTATATAGAAATTGCGAGATATTTATTTTAAAAGCTTCAACAATCACCGAAGCACACATTAATCGTCGTATCAACGCGAGCAGCAATGTTTAGCGAGACACAATTATACGTTCAAAAATCATTATTCAGTCATTGCAATCTTTATATACATTTCCAGATTTATATTTATCAAAGAGTTTCACACAACGCGCACGAGATACATAAAAATCATTGATAACAAGTATCCGCACACTTTGACGACTGCCACCATGAGAACACAGGAAACGATAGTTACAATATCGAAATATTACCGTTACTAGACTACTGCCGAGACAAACGAACCATGCCCAACCACCATCGATCCCTTTCCTCTTCGTATCACCAGGATTCATCTCGTTCGGTTCCAATTATGCTCCCACATAAGCGATCGCTGAGTCCGATGCACGAACTGTCAGCAAGTTGATCGGTCCCGGTACGATATACGGTGTGGAAAAATGAACGCTAGTTGCGATCGTACACTGATTATTCCATATCTCGAGATATAGATTAGTCACCGCCTCTTCATTCACTGCTTAATGATCGGGCACCTATTACCAGGTGTACCAAGCTCGATCGTTTCTTTCGCTTCTTGCTTCGATTAGGCACTGACGAGCCACTGCCATAACGTCTGGAACCGATTCGTTCCTCGCGTGCCCCTCTTTGTTCTATCGGCCCGTGGAAGGACACGCGTGTTACATCCTTTTCTGGAATTTACAGAACGCGAGGAGAAAAGAAAAGGAAAATGTGCTCGTCATTGATACAAATTGGTATTTCATTGGAACGTTGCCTTTCGAAGAATAAGGAACATGCTCGTGGCTATCATTCTCTTGGGCATCAGACAATCTTTTTTTCGCGAACGTACCATTGCAAATTGTATCCGCGACACTGACATGATTTCTCACGACTGCCTGGTTTATACAACAACGAAGGAAATGTAAAATGTTAATGCGAAGCATAAATAGGATGTTAATTCTGCTACGTACTTCGTACTGTTTTTAACAAATTAATCCTTCGTTTAAGCAAACGCACGAATGATCATAGTCCATTTCGTGACGATGTACGTAGTAATTGGCTTCTGTTCGATAGTGATCGAACAGAAAACTGGAAAAAGAAGGAATAACAACTGTTATATTCATAGTTCTTCCTTTCTATCGTTCATACGTACGCCTATTCAAAACTTTATTTTAACGAATGAATGAATATTCTTTATTCTGTGGATGATATTAGACTTTTTCGTGCGTTTTTGTCCCAAAGACAGAAATATTATAATTCTTTAATATTATAGAATATAATTTAAATAATAGAAATACTTACTACATAATTACTTATATTTAAAAGTTAAATTAATATTAAATGTAAGGAAGCAGTGCTGCATGAAAATAATGAAATATTCATTTGCCTACGAAAATCTTATTTCTCTCAAAATTTTGACATGTTCTAAATGGACTGAGAGCATCCATAAAGCATGTGCATTTGCTTTTTCAAACTTCGCGTATTTATCCTAAATATCCAATGAAAGTGCAAATGAATTTTTTCGCTTCACGCCGAATTGCTACGAGAAAATTATAATTCATGTAAATGAATTTATCAATCGGCGGTATTAAACGTTGCGGACATTTTGGAAGTAACGTTTATTTCTGAACTGAGTTTGCATTTTCTGCAGACACGTAATTTTATACATCATTACATTTTTTTAACTTAAGTTTCCATCGTGCACGATCTCCATCATTATAAATCTCCATAGGTTGCAAATGAAATTTAAATGTGAGAAAAATTAAATTTACCTACAATTTATAGGAGAATTTCTCATGATTTTCATTTTCAGATTGGCTCGAAATCGTACCAATGTAACGACAATAGTTATTTCTACATTGTTGGTGAAATTTCAAAGTTTTATGCAACATACGTACGTAACATGTATAATTTTTGTACAGTAAGTATTCAAATACTTAATACGTGAACCACAGATCGTGCATATCAATATAATTTTTAAATATGGAAAAAAGAAGCACACATGTCCTTGTGAAAACCAAAAATTATAATAGATAACATTAATTATTAGCACGTAAATACAAAGGCCTTCATTTCTACTTCATTTATATTTTACAGTTTTATTTTACAGCAAATTTGCGGACATTCGAGAAAGAAGTAACAGAAATGGTAAAATAAGTAATTTCAAGTATTTCTCTCTGTTTTTTTTTTTTTTTTTTTTTTTAGTAATTTTTAAGTATTTTATGAGAGACACAATATTCCTCCAATGACACGTAACCGCAAGAAATCGATCGCGAAAGATAAAACGGACATCCAGGAGAAAATTTCAAGCGCAGAACGGTTGTTTCATCAGTTTGAAAGAATTTCCGATGAATATAGAAACGCAAGCTTGAAAGGATAGCAATGATTAATCATACTTAATTGCGTCATTTTCAGTACTTATATGCAGGTTGTTAATACTTATATGCCGGTTATTAATATTTATATGCAGGTCGACAATGTACAATACACGCTGTGCATTCGTTGATTTATGGATGCACATTAATAAATATACCTTGCTTCAAATTACCAGGATTTTATTTAAAATTTTAATCGAGAACATAATTTATGTTCATCGTACAACGTATAATAATTCTTCCAACGTTATAAAAATTCGAGATTCAAACTTGCGTCACTACATAAACTATATCATTTCACATCACGTTCAACTAATTCAACGAATAAATTAAACAAAAGAGCAAAAGAAAAAAAAGAAAAAGAAAAGAATGTGATACTTACAATTTGCTCAGAGCGTGCAGCAAAATCGATAAGCGTACTCGGCTTCGAAACCATTTGGTGCACAAGTTAGCTGTTCGATATTTCACTATCAACGCAACAACAGTCACCGGTCCCGCCGTTACCATTAAAAATATAACTAAAAGAAACACTTGATCCTACGATCTTGTATGTATGTACATAACTTGCACCACAGAAATGAAAGTAAAAGAGACACGAGCTTTTATTCGCATACATCTCTCAAAAAGAAAGATCAAATCTCGAAAACCCACCAAATCGTGATTCTATAGGATCTCTCTAAAAAATTACCAATTGCTCATTTCGATCGTTAAATGTGACTTTTTTTTCAGAACGTCTGCCTCATGTCGATGGATCACGTTCACCGTTCGAATGTCACGCATCGAAGTGACATTTTTCCGCCGCTTTCGTTTATCAGGGCTCGCGAACGAACCGGGCAGAGAATCGTTCGGCCACGAGGAGGCGAAGAAAGCGGACGAGATTACCCGATATCTCGTTATACTCTCGTTTGCTGCAGCGCGTTTCGCCGCTAGTTGTCGAACATAATCGGTCGACCCTTGATTTACCGCCAGGCCGGCCGTTTGGTTTTCCGTCGCGGGAAATTCTATTATGTCCGGTCTTGGAACGAACTGTTCCGTTGCCTCGTGCACACGCGCGAACTTCGAGTGCGACAGTGTGTCCATCGCGTGGTGAAGTCGATTTTTTTTTCAGCGTCAATCGCCGGAATGTGCATCGACGAAGCTTCGAACATTCCTGCCAATGTCGACGTTGCTTCGTTTCTTGTTTGACTGGACGACGATTCCTCTTGGCGGTTAATTAGACGTAATTTAGAGTTAAAAGAAGAACTCAAGTTAAAAATGAATGCAACGCATATCGCAGGAAATGGTGATAAGAACGGATGGACTATCGAGTGATTATTCTTTTTTCAGGGATGTCCCTTTCTTTCAAGCCTTTCTTTGACTCTTTTATGTCGACTCTTTGGGGCAGAAAAGAATTTGTGGAGATTTTATTTGAATGAAATACATGAAAGATAGGATTATTCGATACAGAATGACTAAAGTTAGAAAATAGATTAATAATAATAAATCGGGAAGATCCCTAAAGGAACTGAGTACGATGAGTACGACATACCATAGATGTTTGTACTTTTAATTGTTTTAATCTTTCAAGGTGAATCGATGGATCAACAATTTTTAATACGTTATTCACCAACTGACACGTCAAGTGGAGTCATTCAGAAATTCCATTGAAAATCTCCTGTGCGCTAAGAGTAAAACAAAGAAAAGAACGTCATTTTTGTTTTTTTTTTTTTCTTTTTTTACGCTGCCTCTGATTACGACCACTTTGTGTTGAAAATATTTGCATCGCCATATTTTTCAAAATATATACGGTCGAATCATGTGTGAACATATATATTTAATTAATGGTGCAAAATGAAATATTTCAGAAATAGACTGCTTTATCACCTCCACTGTTGACATTATTACTATTATCAGTGCTACTCTAATTTCTTCATATTGTTACTGCCACTATAACTTGATTACACAATCTGAAACGACTTCGGTATATTAATTTCAACGTTTTTGCTTCAAATAACAAGTCAATAAATAATACGCTATTAGATAGAGAGTTGTTATTTTTATATTTGAAATATAATTTTAAGAAAAATAAGATGAGAACCAATAGATTTCCAATATATTTTGCTAAGTAACGAATATTTAATATGTAAATATTGAATACGTTTCCAAATTAGAAATATCAAAATTCGATGGTAAGAATTATTTACTGTATAGGATAAAAAAAAAAAAATAACGAAAGAAATATTTTTCACTGATCTAATTTCAAGAATTTCTCAATTATCTTTTTATTATTTATTATTCTTATCATATTATATCTCGCGAAGACCATATGTACATGTTACAATAAGACTGATAACACAAACGAATAATATCCCATCCGTAATTGGTTAAAAAATCGCTCCACTGTTACAATTTTTTATATTTAACAGTGACAAGCCATGTTATTTTTCGCGGTTCCATTGTCACGAGTTAAGTGAAATTTATTTTTCAAGCGTGTAAAGTCAAGTAAGAAATGAAATATATTCTAACAAGAGTTGCACACTAACAAGCTATTAAGTCATCATTATTTATTATTTAACATCATTACTCTTCAACATCATTATTTTACACGTTTAACATTATTTAACGTGTCATTATTTAACATCATTATTTATTATTACTATTTTCCGTCATTTATTATTATCTTTGTTATTTATTACTTGTTATATTATTTTTACACTATCGCGAGATTATTATTTTATCATATTCATTTTTATATATCCAAACTTTATAAATAACAATATCTGATTCAAATCCATTGAATATGGACTGAGAGTGCAGCTTATTGAATAGCTGCGTGTCAAAGCGATAAGTTATTCATTATTAGCTTCGACACTAACCGTATGTCGCACGGATTAATTAACACGACCGCTAAGAATATTTTTTTTGCTACTGGTTTAAATTACCTGCGGTATGAACTAGCTGCGGTTTGATAGGAAATTTATTTTTGCATCGTAAATACACTTCCATCAGAATCGGTGTTTCAATCATTTTTAATAACGTTCACCCCGAGCCCGAGTAGATTAATCAAGCGAAATGAAAACAAGCGATTCGTTGAAATTCATAAATCAATAAATGCGTGAGGCAATATTACGAAAAACATTTAATTGAATTGTAAAGAGAGAGAGAAAAAAATTTATTAGTTAATATAAGTTATTTATGATATTATTTATGATATTATTTATTCGATCGAACAGAAAGGAATACATGTAGGAACATATGAATTAATGATGTCAACGTGTACGTAATATTTCTCACAAAAGCAATCTATCACGTGTCGAAGGCTGTGTGTATTGTATTTTATCACGTTGAAACGTGATAAACGTATTCGGAACGCGTTAATTATGTTACTCGCCGAGAAACTGAATTTTATTGCCGCAACCAGCGTACGAAGCTATTGACTGAAAAATTTGATTTGCAAACAAATCGAGCGCCGAATATTTGTTAAAAATAGACTGCGCACGATATCATCAAATTATAATTATTTTAATTCAACTCTCGACAAGAAGAGTAAAGCACGATCACTTATATTCTCCTTAATGATAGCAAATAAAATTCTACGACTGTAAATAGCGTTCAAAGTGCCGAAATAGTGGATTAACAAATTAACTAGGTAAGAAACTAGTGATTGATTATTATAACTCGACTGCGAGTATTTATGAATTTATGAAGAATTCGAAGATGTGAAAATCGTTGTGTTTATAAACATAAACATAGATAATCAAAACAGAGTGTTTATCATAATATTGTAATATTTAATAGATGAAACTTCTTTCTTCTTTAACGTTTCGTTAATGCATAAATGGCTGTGATCTAGTTACATTCGTAAAAAGATCGATATTTCAGTGCGTATAAACCTGTAAAATATATGATATATGTATACAGAGGGGATATTGGTATCTTATGAAGACGATAACGCAGATTATATAGGGTGAGGCACTTACAATACATGAATATTCTAGTGGCGTGTCATTGATTTTCTCTGGTGCTTCACGAATCTTCCAATACATAGATGAAACTTGCAGTCTGTGTACGCCGTATCGCCTGCAACCGTATCTATGCCGTGCAAACTGTGGTGTATATGTTAGGATCCAGAAGAAACATTGTGCGTAAAGTTCAATACGTTATCTTGTATTTTCAACTGAAATGAAAGTGGTATTTCGTTGGACGAGACAAACAAAGAGTAAAAAAAAAAAATTATTTTTCATTTCTTTTTTTTTTCATTTATGAAGTGACACAATAGAAATAAAATTTCTGCAAGACTCCTAATACTTTCAACAATAGTGGAGATTTAATCGCCGATCACGAAACTCCAATTAAATAAATGTATAAATAGTGAAGATGACGTAGATGCATAAAAGTAAGTAATCTACTTTTTGTAATTTTTAGTTTAATTTAATATTTATTCTTAATAAGTGAGATTTTTTTTAAATGTAAAACGCATTTTAGTATAGTTTTGCAAAATTTGCAAAGTTCGCATACGTGTAAAATTCAAACAGGTAGTATGCTTCAAACTCAGAGGCTCCTATATCTACATTTTTGTGTTTTTATATTTCAAAAAATTTATTGTAACAGACAACTCGCTCAACAAATTGCATAAATTAACTTGTAACCATTATAAAAAGATTATTAGAAGGATATGTTAGCACACATCTTCAGTGTGGTTAAATATCTTTAGAAAGATTAAAATATCGTAGATATATTTAATAGACATATTTGTATTCTAAACACTTTTTCATCTGATACCTTTCACTGTAAAGAAACCATTTTGTTATGAACTATTGTAAGAGAGAGTGAAATTATGAAGATCAAGCATATATCCATGTATGGGAACATATTACTTTACTGTTGTTATTTCCATTATTATTATCTCGCGATTTAAATCAGTTCTATACGTAGTATTGCAAAATTTCATTTACGATAGGATCTTTTTCCTCAAGATGATTCCCTAATTCCAGATGCTACGGTAGCAATATTTCATTCTCATTAAGGATAGGTATTTAGTACAGTGACATTGTGTACATAGATAAGAAAGTCTTCGAAATCGTTTGTACCCGGTTTCGTTCAGTCAAAAACCATCCAGCCAACTGTCATATGCTGTACAAAATTGTTTAATCACAGCCAGAGGTGTTTTCAATCAATCTAGAAGAAACTGAAGACCTCCCAGCTAGTAAGATCCTTATTTATATATTTAAATTTATCTCGTGCTCTTTACTTTGTCGTTCAATTCTGCCAATGTGTAAAATAATTATCTGCCATTCATTAAAAAGTATATCAAGTGCACACAATAGAAATTCACAAAGTTCCGAATATTAATAAGTCAAGAAATCTCTGTCTTCTCTTTTATTATTTTATTATTTTATTATTTTAATACAGTTCTCCCTTTGTTATTATTATTTTTCATTGTTTTTGTATTATTGTTTTTTAATTCGTGCAGTGACTATATCACCGTTTGTATATTCAAATTTATCCCTTTGTCCTTTTACTTATGATTCTTAGAAATATACTTTTTCAGTCAAACACACAGATCTGACTAATCAATTATTATTCAAATTATTTCTCTGTGAATCAAAATCGAAGAGGACGAACATGAAACAATTTCTATCGGACTGTGTATAATAAATTTAGTGACTCGTGCTGGTAGAAGATTGAACCGAGAAACATTAAATATTGAAGTGAAAATAGTTGATTAACAAATATTTCCTGCTATGTGCATTTAGACTATATAAAAATATGACGGTAGCTAAGAGTAATGGAACAACAACGATGGAAGCAACGAATATTTTGATCGAAGATGAAAAGAAACATCAACAAAACGTGTTATTACCTTATAAGGAAAGGCAAGATGAAGACGACGATGATGAAATCACGTTAGAAGATTTGGCTCCAGATGGTGGCTGGGGATGGATGGTTGCTATCGCTATGACAGTAGTATTTGTTAGTATTTATTTCCAAATAACATCATACATTTTGTCATTACTTTTCCTTCACTCTTTTTTTTCTTCCCTCTTCTTTTATCTTATTTCATTGAATTTCGTCTATTTAATCAGATAAATATTTGTTTTGTTCAGTTGAACACTGAATTATAAATAATTTATCAGAAATGCGCTAAAGATATATAGTTGTCTGTATATATTTTTAGCGCTGTGGATATTTATTTTAATTTGTATTTATATTTTTATTTTAATTTATTTTAATTTATATTTATATTTTTATTTTAATTTATTTTAATTTATATTTATATTTTTATTTTAATTTATTTCAATTTATATTTATATTTTTATTTTAATTTATATTTTTTGTTTTATGTAGTAAGTATTAGAATACAAATACTATGTTTTGAGCACTTTGTATGTTTTTGAACATTAAGTGCGTTACACCAATTTTTAAATTTCACATTAATGAAAATCCACAATCCACGATCTGATTAATCTAATTACAAGACTTAAAAACTATCAAATTGGTAGATTACTGTACAAGGATCATCTTTATTTCTATGACACGCAGTTAATTTTTTCGACAGATTACAACATTTGGACCAACGTCGTCATTTGCAATAGTATTTGGGGACTTCCTTGAAGAAAATGGCCAAGCTGGCACAGCGATGACACTTTTCAATTCCGTATTCATGACTACGTTCTCAATTGCTGGTAAGTCGTCCTCCTTCCGTTTTGTTTCGAACTTATGCTTTCGTGAAATAGAAAAATTAAAATTTTCAGTACGAAAGTACACTGATGTAACAGGGGTATTATTTATAACACTGTTACGAGATATAGTCACGTGTGTTTTACGTTTATTTAGAACATGTCTAGACTCCAGGAAGTGAAAATCATATCTGCACTTGCAAATAATGTGTTTTGATTTATGACTTTAATACAAGTGTTTCAATGTCACGTTTGTTCTTCATTCTCAATTCGTAATACGTACTATGGGGGGCAATCTCTCTCTTTACGATAGAAAATATTTCTCGATGTAATAATAAATAAACAAAATTAAAGAGAATCTTTATATCTATATCTTTCACACATGTCGCAGATGTGAAAGCAATTATCTGTATCATTTATACTTTTAGATGCAAAACAATTTATATTTAAAATGATTTTTCGATAATTGGTTTCGAAATATTGATGTTATAAGATGGATCATATTGGAAATACGAAAAATATTTTTATAACTAGAGATATTTATTAGCTAAAATCATTGAAGTAATTTTATACTTTATAATTGAAATTTATTCTGACTTGTTGATATAATATCTGTATTACATAAAATTAATACCTTAAACATTTAAACGTTTAAAATTAATATCCTAATACGTTAGAATTAAATTAGAATATGTCATGTTTTAATAACATCATTATTTACTATATATTATTAAATTCCATCAAATGAAATTTGATGTGTAATGAGCTTGCTTGATGAAAACAACCTGATTGATTTGATCAATCTGTGTCATTTTAAACATGATTTATAAACATTTTCCTGTGATACAATTGTAAATCCAATCATATTCAACGAGGAGTATCACGTATTTTCCAAGAAAAGATATAATTATAAAGTGAGAATACTACCGGTAGGCATTCAACGATGGTGCACGATCAGTTATGTAATTCTTTCGTAGTTCTATAGATATTAGATAAGAGCGACATTGAGAAATAATTATAATTAACGATTTCTAAGTCAAATTGCAATGTCACTGAATAAATATATCATATATTTTATTGTTAACATTACATAATATACACAAGTCATGAAGTTGTATAGTTAAATAATATTCTTTTTATGAATACATTCATTCGTTGTTCATTTTTTCCTCTTATTTAATACATTTAAACAAATACAAATTTGATTCTTCATATTAATCAACATTTCGACATTTAAAATAAATTTTTATTGAAGCTATAGACTCTTTGCTCAGTGTCAGGTAGATTTCGTTGCCTCATGAATGAATTATCGAATGTCACTGAATTCACTTACTATTAATCATTTATGAGCAAACTTGCTGACAATTTTAATGTAACTTATATTTTTTGTTTAAATTTTTTGTTTCTATAACACTGTAATGATTGTTATTTTTATACAATAATTTATGAATAAATTCATTTCTCCTTTTCGACACAGATTTGTCAGATCAGGAACAAAGAATATTAGAAAAAAGTACTTCATTTTTGCTACTCGAATAACAAAATAAAAAGTAGAACTTATGATACTGGTAGCATTAAATTCTATCGTAAGATGTAAAATTATTTCCAACGAAAGTGTCAATGAGGTGAAAAATTCTATCAACAACTTGGAGATAAAATATAATAATTTCAAATTCTATTGCAGGTTTAATGACTAACAAGTTAATGAAGAAGTATTCTATGAGGCCAGTGGGAGTAGTTGGTGCATTGTTATTCTCATTGCCAAATGTCTGTCTAGCTTTCGTCACGAATGTCTACGAAATGGCATTCATAAATTTCTTACAAGGAATGGGTCTCGGTCTCATCTTTACCATCTGCAATACAAATTTCAACGCTTACTTTGTGAAGAAAAGGGCGCCAGTACGTAAATACAGGGCCGGTGGCCGACAATTGTTAACATACTTATATTCTTAATTTTTTAGAAAAATTCTTCCTATTTAGGTAATGAGCGTGGCCCAAGTTGTCGTTGGCTTAGGTGGAATTGCCTATCCCATATGCGTTGAAAAGATGATGAGGATGTACGGTTTTCGAGGTGAATCTTTGATATTAATAATATTGATAACACGACAAACATGCTCACGAAAATATTTGGGTATTTATAAAAACATTTTATGAATATATATTATGTGTACCATGTAACATATAAAACATTTTGATATTTCATTAATATTGTAGTGAAACCTGACTATTGTAATTATATTGGCCAAATTTGATTCGATAAAATCTGGGTAGAAATCGTTTTACATACCAAATATTATAAAAAACATTGTACCTTGAATATTTCATATATTTTTGCATATATGCATTTTGTATCTTCAAAGTCATTACAATGTTAATGAAATATTATACATTTAAATATTATAATATTATTCTAATATTTAGATATTATAACATAAATATGTATTTAATAATGATAAATATATAATATTTAATATAAATAAATATTATAATATTTAGATATGTCAGATTTCCTCTACAGTAAATGTTCGAACATTTTCGTGAGTTACTAGTAAATTTTGAGAATTCAAATTATAAAAATAATTCAAGATTTCGAGAATCCCTCTCACTACTCTAAAAGTTCCGAAAATGCCGAATGATGACAAATTAAGAATGCATTCATTCATCCTTAAATTTATTCAATATATTATAACATGTTTATACAATAATAACCAAATTTATAGAAAAATAATAAATTATTTTATTATTGATCATAATCTATGATTATCTATGCAATAGTAAACGCTCAAACGATCGTGTGATAGGAACAGCACTAATGACGGGTGCCATGAGTTTGAATTGCATCGTCGGTATGACGATGATGCACCCTGTCGAGTGGCACGCGAGAAAACCGGAAGAGGTTCGGGCGGAGAGGCAACGCGAGAAAGAGGAACGGAAGTTACGCGGTATAGTATTCTCAGATCGTCGTTACAGCGACGTCGTACGTACTCCGGCGAAAACCAGATGGAGCAGCCTAACGAGTCTGAAGGACGAAAGCGGGAAACAGGTTCCGCTTTTGATCGAAACGTTGAAAGTAAGTTTTGTACGTTGTCCTGATCCGGACAGTTGTTGTTGCTTCGGCGCAAGAAATATTAAAGGAGACATATTTACGAGAGAAAGCAGTGATGTAAATCCTAAAAAGACGTAACGATGTTTGGTAGATCGTGATAAGTAAAACTGTTAAAAGAGACGTGATTTACAGGCCGGATTGAAGTAGAACTTTCATATATTTGGTGATAAATATTGTATTTTAACTGGGTCTAACATTAACATAATATTTTCTTAATTGGTTTTTCTTTCCTAGATAGGTAATTTAATTACGCTTCTGTTCATAAATAATATGAGTCAATCGTATAATTTAAGACTGACTTGGAAGGAAATATTTATTACCTGAATTCATTTTTAAGTCATTAAAATGCGGATTTAAAAATTATCATATTTAAACGAATTAATTAATTAAATTTTTAAAAGAGTTTTAATTTAGATGAAAATTAATTGAAGAATAATTGAATTGATGGTTCTACTTAAAATCGATATATCTTTCTCACATTAGTAATTAAATTTCCATGCTTCGTTTAAATACAGTCGCCGGCGAAAAGAGTAGCCTCGATATCCGAGCTGGAAGACAGAATATACAACCGAATGAAATCTGGTTCAATGCGTGAATTGTTAACAAGACGACTATCAACGTTTTCATCATCAAGTCTGGTGAATTTCATGACTAGTATCGGCAGTTTGGGGGACAGGCAGCATCATCCTGAGAAACTCAAAGAGAAAAATAAAGAAGTAGGAGTTCAGGTTTCGTTGAAAGAAGAACAGGATATCGGTAAAAGTCAACTAGTGTACGTGTGAACTATTTTCACACACGTTCTTTTATTATTGCCTGGAAAACATAATGAGATAAATCAAGTATTTAGAAAAATTTTAAATTTAATCAAGCATTTCAATATCTGGAGGCATCGATCGTTTAGTTTTACAATAAACGATTACATTCTCTGCTGAGACTTGAAAGAGCATAACAAATAATAACAAACGCAGGGTATTATTTTACGAGAAACATGCAATTCTCGACTCAGAATTTTTTCAATTACTAAGAATGACTTATTACCTTGTTACCTCGTTAAATTAATTTTAAATGTCTTTGATATCGCAGAGAAATATTGGGGGAGCTTCTAGAAATGTCACTTTTAAAGAATTGTGGTTTCCTGAACATTTGTCTCGGAATCAGTTTCGTCTTGTCCAGCGATTTCACGTTTTCCTATCTCTTGCCATTGATGATGGCCAACAATGGTTACACGAAAAGTCAGGCAGCTCTAGCAATCACCATCTGTGCAGCCGCGGAATTGGTTTCCAAGATTTTGCTTGCGATTTTCACTTTGATGATAAAAGTCAAAGCGAAGTACATATTCTTCGTCGCTATGATTTGCATGGCATTCGCGAAAATTGGTCAGTAAATTATACGCGTCGAATTTTTACACGACGAAGTAAAGTATTATTAAAAAAAAAAAAAAAGAAGAAGAGAATCAGAAAATTATTCAAGCGAATTTCCTGCGAATATATTTATTTTATTTCACAGGTTACTTACTGTATAATGATACATTGACCGGCATGTTCGTTATGATAACAATTATAGGAATGGTTAGATCGTGGTTATTGGTTCCTCAGCCACTGGTAATTATAGAAGATGTCAGTATTGATAAATTTGCGTCAGCGTACGGAATTGCTGGCGCTATTAACGGAGTGATTTCCATACTGTTTAGTCCGATTGTTGGTGAGTAGAACATACACATCACTGTACTGAGAACAATGTTAAAAATCAATCACAGTGTTACATTTATCTTCCTGCATCTTTCATTCTTTTATGTCTTAAGCTCGCTCTCGTTTCGGTCAAAATAACAAATAACATCAAATTAAAGCAAGAATTCTATTCTCTTTAAACGTAAGAAATTTTCTGAAAATGACAATTTTAGAAATGACTTGTACATAAGGGTGAATATTCTACAAATCTTTTATTTATTATCGATTACTATTTTATTCTTTTGCTCTTATCAACGTTAAACATCGTTTTATCATTATCAACCATCCATTTGATCAACTATAAAAGAAATGTGGAAAAGAAGATATGTATTCGTTATAAGGGAATGAGAATGAACTTTTAAATTCAAATGATCTCTTTCAGGATTCCTGAAGGATTGGACCAATAGTTTTGTAGTCTGCCAGCTTGCCCTTATATTAATGAACATCCTGTTCGTTATCCCGTGGGCAGTACAGTTCCTTTCAGTAGATTTACCAAAGAGGAGGAAGGAACGGGCGGATAAAATTGCTGCCCAAACTTCCGGTTCCTTTTCTGCAGATTGACGCAAAAGGAGAGAGAGGCAGAAAGACCTTGTGCGTATAACGCGCGTATTTACTATTCGAAAGTAGAAAAATTCTTTTGTATAAAACGAAAAAAAAAAAGAAAAAAAGTGAAATTACATACTTTTTTTATAGCAATTAAAACTACTTGTTTTTATAAATTCTTCATCTTCGTTTGTGGAATGAAATGAATTGAACATTGCAAATTGAAAGTTACTATTATAGCGTTGATTATATAACGCAGTGCCAGATACAATGTACAAATCTTTACAACGATGTAGTCGTTTATATCTTTCGGATAAGTTAAATATTTTATGCATTGCAACATTGAATTCTTGCAACAATATCTACGAATTTATTGAAAGAAATGTTAAGTTTAGATCAATTTAAATTTAATTATAAGCACAATGTTGTATCAAATGTACATAGAAAGATGTCGTAAATGAGATTGGAATAAATGTTTTATATTCAAGTTGTTGCAATCATCGCCACAGTTACGAAATCTACGAAACCTAGAATAATTCTGTAAAAACTAATCTGGAACCTAACGATAATTTTGTAAAAGCTAGTTAAGGAAAAGTCAATATTTTTATTGAATTTACGACACAATCATTCATCTTTTTATTTTAGGAAAATTAATTCATTAATAAATATTGTCTGAATTTCAATACAATTAATATAAATTGGAGTTTTATTATTAGTATTATTATTTAATTTACAATTAAACAATTAAAGAGCCTGTCAATTGTTCTTATTTCGTGGCTCAATTTTTATTCGGAAGCCGTCTTCCCTTTTAAGAATAATGTCAACCCTTAGCCGAAAGTCCTTTTCTGTGAGGTCCGACAGGATCTTGTAGTTCCGCAAAATCGTCGACAATAAAACCTTCAACTTTAACATCGCGTACTTCCTTCCCACGCATGATCTACAAAAAAAAAAAAAAAAGAAAAAGGGGGAAAAAACAAACGCAGTGTATCGACAAACCCTTTTTCTAGAGTTCTCAAAAGAATTGCTAAATGCTAGTCGAATAATTAGACTGTGCACTCATATTTTCAAGAATATAATTAGAAAGATAGAAGCTTCAAAGATTGCTTTACATATTAAATATTGCAAAAAGTATCCACTTTCGATATCTTATATAGGTATTTCGTGCAACTTTGCATTTTAATATTTCTGAAGAATATTATTAATATTCTAAAAATATTATAATATTCTTTAATATTTTTGATCCATCGATCGTTGAAATTAATACTCATTCAATTATTTTTCCAAATGACAAATCAATTCGTTTTTATTTCGCATTTTTGTTATAAAGTATTCACGAACTTGTTTTTTTTTTTTTTAACATTATGTGAAATATTTTATATGTTCAAACTATAAGAATAAAAAAGAAATTACCTCGGTCCTGCGCTGAAAGGAATAAAAGAGTAGTAATGTCTGCTCTGCATTTTTTCTGGTAGAAAGTTGTCAGGGTTGAACACGTTAGGGTTTGGATAGAATTCTTCCAACCGGTGAACTCTGAACTGCGGAATCAGAATCGTAGTACCTTTTGGGATCAAGTAGTTCCCCGTCACTATATGAATCATATAATATTTTTAAATAAATGAACTGACATTTTCAATCCTTGCGTGACAAGAAAATTTATAAATTCTTTTGGAAATTAATTTATATATCCTTGTGATTAAATTTTAAATTTACTGTTAGTAATCATTAGTTATCCTGAAACTTGTTAAATAATATTCAATTTCCATTATTAACTGTTTCCGGAAATTTTAATTTCTAGTTTCCAATTTTTTAAATTTCTGATTTTTCAATTTAAATTTAAAAATTGTTTAATACATTATATTTATATATATATATAAAATTTACCTATTCTGATGTCTTCCTTAATTTTTCTCGCAATGGCGGGAACCGGTGAGTAAAGTCTCAACGATTCAAAAATTACTCTTTCAAGATATTTCATTTCCAATGTATCTTGGAACGTGCAAGGCCTGTTTGATTCTCCGAAAATCTCCTTTAGTTCTTCGTATACTCGTTCCTGCAACATAATTACTTAATATTAGAAATAATAAAATGAACGTAAAAAATACTGACGACGGGTTTCATTCTGAGAAAGAAATATATATCCATAAAAGTAATTAATCAAGGTATCACGTATTTGCAAACTTCAAGTTACATCGTGATCAATCAATATCAAGTTAGAGAAACGATGGAGCATTAACCTTCAATTATTACGTTATAACCTTTATTTTATCGAGGAAGAAATTTGTTGTGCGAGGATGGGAGATCCAACGCGTGGAAAAACTTTATTTCTCAGAATGTGCGTCATGTGCCACACATATAACAAAGATGAACGACACAAAATAGGTCCTAATCTTTTTGGAGTAGTTGGCAGAACTTGTGGTAGTATGTATGCAATACCTTTTCGTATAAATTGTTCTCTTTCTACACTGAAACGCTATTATATACATGTAATGTATACATAACATAGCATGAAAGTTATACGTCATATATAAATTGTTTTATATATATATATATATAAAATATTTTTATAAGTATCGTAAAAAGAACATCTCGATTTCAAAGTCCAAATTTTTAAATATACTTTTTACATTCACGTGATAAATTGTTTTTAAAACTTCCAAAATAAAATTGATGAAATCATCGTGTTACAAGTATCGTGTTTAATAGCTACTTCTGGATTCAATTATACCGAACCAATGAAGAAGAAAGGTGTCGTGTGGGATGAGAAAAATTTAAACGAATATTTGGAATTCCCAAGGCAATTTATTCCTGGCACGAAAATGGTGTTCAATGGTATTAAGAAGGCTGAAGATCGTCAAGATATAATTGCCTTTCTGCTAACGTTGAAGTGAAAATTCGAGAAACCGTATTTATCAGAATGAAATACTTTGTACAGTGAAGAAAATGAGGTGTCATCGACGACAACTAAATAAATAAAAGAAATAGCAAACTAAAAGAAAATTAGAAAAATCGTTGCTTGGTAGATTTTGTCACGTATGTCACGCTCGTGTGTTAATGGATTTTTACTGCACTTACCTGGACGTCTTGATGAATTCCGAGCAAGCAAAGAGTGAAGCTAGAACCTGCAGCGGTGGTATCATGTCCCTAAAACGTGCACAATTATAAGGAAAAATATCACCTTCAATAGAAATTTCTCGATTTAAAACAAATTGTACATATCTTCATATTTAGCATTATAAAACAACGTAATTTTTAGTTCAAAATATTTTTTCTAAATAAAATTGCTAAAATAAAATTTTTATAATGTGTCGCGCACGAAGAATAAATTACACAAAGATTAATTATTTAGTTTAACGAAATATTGTGAATATTGTATCAGAAATGTACTTACTTTAAAATGCTTTAAAATATTTGAAGCAATGATACTAACATTAAAATGAGCGATGCTCAAATAGAATTGTATATTACCTCAAACATTATAGTGTCGACTTCTTCTTGAATCTCTTGATCAGTAAGTTTCGCGCCATTTTTCGAAAGCTCCAACAGAAGATCCAGGAAAGCAAGCCTCTTCTTTTCACCGACATCATTTTCGTCAATTTCATCCAAATCATCTCTAACGTAATACTGTTGTCCACCTTTATGTTGGTCGCTTATGTTCGTGTCACTCTTCGCCGATGCAGTGGTCTTTTTCGATTTTTCCGTTTGTTTATCCTCAATGTTCGAGCAAATTTTCTTGTAAATATCTTCCTTCTTCTTTTTGATCACTCGCGACGTCAAACTATGAATCACATTGAGCGAGTTCAGTTGCTCTTTCGCGTACTGCGAAAATTTGAAAAGAAAATCGACTCGCAGAACAGCGTTGTACGTGCGTCGATGAATGATATCGCACATCCTGTTTTTAACGACAAACATCAAAAATATATTAGAGAAGCGTATGTTTAATCCCTTGTGAAAGGAAAAGTAAATTGTTTTAAGAAAGAAAGTGAAATTAAGAATGTGTACTCTTTATACTAAGAAACAAAATTAAATTAAGAACGTGCGTACGTGCAAGAAAATTGAATTTTAATTCTTCAAATTAGAGATTAATCAAATACAAATTTTATTCAATATCCGATATTTTATATAATGAAACAAATTCAACAGTTTCTCACAAATTATCTCATTAATTTTTTTAGAAAATATCTATTATATTGAGAACTGGTTTAAACTATTAAATACAACTGTTAAGAAGAAACTGTGGAATGTAACTGTAGTACTTACTTCATGACAGCCATGGCGTAATTATAACCGTCCTTGTGTTTCTCACTCTCTCTCACACCCATTGCCGTGTCTAGTAAAATATCGACAGTGACAGCCGCTAAATAATCATGGCAATCGAATTCTTTTCCCACTTGATCTCGCAGACGTATCACCAAATCTCTGCTGTTTTCGTAAAACAACGGTACGAATGTTTTCAATATGTTTAAGTGAAATGTAGGTGCTATGATTTTTCTGTGCGACCTCCATTTCTCGCCGGTGCTGATCAGCAAACCGTCTCCTAGCCACGGTTTGAAGAATCTGTGAAAAAGTGTCGATCAGAGAATCATTTTGTTTAAAAGATAAAGACGACAGTATGACTGCGATCTATCCAAATACTAAATACAAATTAAATTACTAAATATAAGATTCTCTACCTGTATTCTGGAGATTTGTCAATGTGCTCTGTGCTGTTGAGAATGAGTTCGACGTCTCGAGGATGATACAGAGCAACAAGTAATTTGTGTCCTACGAAAACACGGATCACAGGTCCGTATATATCGTGTTTAAGCAATTCCTCGACTATTTCATTTGGTTGCAGACGTAGAACTATTAATAAGTTTCCAAAGAATGGCACTGTTTTCGGACCTGAAACAGAAGAAATTTTGCCAAATATGTTCTGCCAGAAAAGCTACATTTTTCAATTATACGTATGCAGATAATTTTACTTGTGAAAATGCGAAAAAGTGATTCAGTGTTTCACTTCTAATTCAATTAATTTATTAAACGACATTTCACTTTAATGCCAACAATTTTTAAAATTATGTGCAATGCGTCGTTTCTCTGGAAGTTTACGTACCTGGAAGTTTATTTCCCAATCGAACCATTCGTGTATTTTCCATGTAAATGTAAAGTGTAACCAAAGTCGTCGTGATCGCAATTAACGAATAAAAGACAGCTGTTTGTAAGTGTAATGATATAATCAGAGTCTCCATTAGTGTCTCCATCGTTGTTTGTTCTGTAAAAATAGTCTTCGTTAAAATTAGACATTACAACTTGTCGATATCCTTCAATTATAGCACGATAAAACGAATTTTCAATAGAGAAAATTAATATATATATATGGAACACAAATATATATATATTACACTTATGAAACATTTTCGTTATTGTATTTTAATTCTAATTTTTTACTATTTGGTGTAATTTATCATCAGGTTGCTCAAATTTCAACAAAATCGGAGTTATTCCGGTAAACGATACCCGCGAATTGCATGCCAGCGTCAAAATTTTTCAAAAAAAAAAAAAAAATAAATATTATACGCATTGATACATTTATATCTTTAAAAAAGTAATATACTGTAGCAATTACCTTTCTACAAACTCTATAGACGATGAATGAACAGCAAATGACAAGACACTGAATGAACGATTTCTTTTATATTTTCTGTCGTTATACATATGTACATATATTCGTACTAATGTTTCAAAACACGCCGAATTCCTTTTTTCTCTGAAACGAATTATACGATGACCTGAATTGTTTCCATGCGTTTATTTTGCAAATCATTGCTTTTTTATTTGCCGATATGAGTAATATAAAATATAGTAAAGTTTTTTCCAGACATTCAGTAGTTAAGCACACCCGTATAAATCTAAGAAAATTTACTGACGATAAATATAGTATGTAGAATATGGAATATTTTCTCATCTTTCGTTAAAAATGATTGATATAAATATTTTCTAACTAAGCAATAAAACGATCGTATATAATTATATGCAGAGAAAATAAAAAGATAAGAAAAAAAAAAAAAAACGATTATAATAATAACTGCCAGATCGTTGATGCGGAAACAAGTGCTCCCGGAAATGACGTAGCAACCTGAGTATCACCCCCTGCGTGGAACGTGCCCGGAAATCGACCCTACAGGATAATAAAAAAAAAACAACGAGGAAAGACAAATAGATGGAAAGAGAACAAAAGAGAGGGACGAAAAGAAACGGAACTTTCCCTCGTCGAGTTCGTCTGAGCGGGACCAATTTCACGAAATTACAAAATTATCGACGGACGCCAAATCGACCACCCTTTATTACTATTGCTGGCGCAATGTAGACTTCCTGGCCAACCGACTTATTCACAGGTGACTGGCACGCATCGAAGAAACTACCAATAAAATTTTTAATTCATTTAATACGACACAATTTCGCGAAGCAAGTATGAAAATTGTTGGAATGAAATATTTGAAAATTAATTATTTTTAACGAAATGTCATTTTACTTGACACGACGTCTCGAAGCAATCCTGCGTTAGTTTATTACAAATAACAACGAATTAGTTTGTTGTTAGTTTTATAACAAATAACAACGAATAACTTTTCTCAGAATTTGGCTGTTTGATTATAAACTAAAATGATTTTCTTTTCTCTTCTTTTGTACTTTGCATTGTATTACGAGAATAATTTCAGATTCTGTTCTTCTTCATTTTCCGCTGGGATTATTTGCTATTCTATTTCACTGAATTATATAGTGAATAATGTGCTTCACAGTGTTTATGTTAAAAATAAATATTTTTCTGAAACGAAAACAAAGCAGATGTATGTATTTTGCAGATGAACGGCATTCGTATAAGTGTGATCAATGCAATAATTATTGCAAATTATGACAGGTCAACGTATAAATATTGCAAATATTTGCAGTACATTAATTTTAATTTCAGACGATCAACATTTATTATTCAGTATGTAAATCTTACGAAGTATTCGAAATGAATTAAAAAATAAAATAATAAAAAATGTGAAACACTTTAATAAAGATAACTAATCATATTCAATAGAATAGATATAAAATAGAAAATCGGATTTATTTAATAAAAAATTAAATGACTTGGTACATATTTATAGAAATTTTATAATAATAGGTCATTTCTATAAAAAAAGTTTTATAATAATAGGTCAAAATTAATATAAGTTTTAATTAATAAATAATTTCATTAATAAAATTAATATAAGTTTTATAATAATAGGTCAAAATTTTATAATAATAGGTCATTTCTATAAAAAAAGTTTTAAAGAAAAAACGATATTTTATTGGCGCAGTGAATGCAAATAATATCTTTCGACTTCTGGTATACTTTTTAGGAATTAAAGACATTTATGTGATATTTTATTGAAGTTTATAGAATTAAAAATATTTACAATATTTCCATTATTGTCCAATTTAATTATTAAATAATAATTAAATAAATCACTATTTAATAGTGTCCAATTCTAATACAATATAAAAAATAATAATGTTATTATGTTGCACACATATTTTATCAAGTCTTCCACAATCATCTATCAAGGTATCTACAACAGATAAAACAACAATCGTATTGTATAAATAATAAAATGTATTTTAAATATTTCTTAAAAACTGTTACAAGAGATACAAGTAAAAAAAAAATCCTTATTGTACGGAATTGGAAATTTGGTATAAATATTTATAACGAGTGGCTGAGTTTCGAACAGTCATCGAAATGAGAAAGAGTTCGAATGTACTTGAAATTAAGTTTTCAACAATGGGAATGTTGTACATTGATTATTCCGATCGAGTGAGATGAATAATAGTCATTTAAGTATATACGTGTGTGGATTTCTCCCTTTTTCAAAATTTTGTTTCCCAGCTCCGCATTAAAACTACCAAATCCAAATTTAAGACAATCACGTTGCTTTCATACCTTCCGATATTCCAAAGAGAAGAAAAATACACGCAGGATGGCCAATTTAGAGCAAGAAAATTTTTCGCACTGCCGAGTCGCATTCTATCGAATTATATACCTAAGAATTATGATAAGACTTTTATACACTTTTAATGTGAATTTGTGGCGTGGAACTATCTGAAAACTCTCCAGCATGTCGAAGGCAGCTTACAAGTAAAATTCCTACAATCGTAGTCACACTTAAGGCACTTGTATTTACAAAATTTCTCTTATTAACGAACGTAGAATAATTTAAGACTCTCGTGCGAGCACCTTCTGTTACAATTGAACAGTGCGTTTTCTAATTAAACAGGAAGGTGACGTTGCTACGTCATCGTTCACTCAACTTCCCGTATTAATTAGATTAATAGAAATAATCAAGTACTTTAGGCTAATGCAGAATTTACAATGGATCTATACTTTTGATAGCAAAAAATGCCTTGGAATACGTATTAAACTACGCGGTGTACAAAGAGAATTTTATGATACATGGCGAATTACGAAAACATTCGAAATATAGCTACATGTTGGCTACATCTCAATAAAAAGAAAAAAAAAGAAATGGAAATTCGAGTACTAGATTAAATAGGATTGTTAAAATTTAACCTTTAAATTAATCGTTAAATTAATTATTACACGACTTTTTATGTACATAGTAACGGGACATGAAAAATTCATAATTCTTCGGAGAACAATAATAATAGAATGCAGATTCTATACGAACGAAATTTCAACTAGTACTGATTAATAATATAGTAACAATTCATCAACTAGACAATTTTTCATGACAAATGCTACATAAATATTAAAATATATGTAGTTTTCAAATTCATTCAATTTTTTTGATAACCTTCATTATTTACTATATATCACGTACATGTAACTAGAAAAATTTCAGATGAATTTTTTATATATTCAGTGAGGTTTCTTCAGTTGACTATTCCAATGTTTTTGTAATTCATGGTACATACTTGTACACGAACAAAGTAATTACAATGGAACTGATCGTTTGTCGAAGATGGATATCATAACAACATGATACAATTTTGGTTTAAAAGTATTATGTACTTCCTAATACTGAACGATCAAGAATCGGAACAATTTGCGTGATAACTCGTTTAAATTCGCATTTTTCTTAAACGTAATACATACTGACCGAGACTTAATAGTAATTAATTAAATAATATCATGGGACTAACATTCTCCTTTCTTGGCACGCGAAATTTCCTTTCCTTTCTCGAAGCGTATTGCCTTGCGTAATTAGTTGCTAACAGTCCGGTGAACGACATTCTAAATATTAATAGTAAAACGTTTCTTAAATACTCGTTTAAAAAGTACAAGGAAGTAGAAAAAATAGTTTCATCGGTTTAACACGATTTGTATCAACTTCATTTTAAGGCACTCTCCTATGTACACTTTTTCTTTGATCATGCTGCATCATTTTTCACTTTCATATTGTCTTTAGTCTAATACAAGTAGTTCAATACAATACTAATATAAAAATTATATTTTGGACGTGAAACTGTATCACCTTTTCAGGAAACTTGCCTAATATTATATAAAGTTTAATGATAATCAGAAAACTGAGGGCATTTATGCAGATATATATCTTTGTGATTACAATTGAAAAACTGGAATCTACATACAAAAGTCTACATTTGTACTGTACCATCAAATTTTCCATACGAGCATAAAAATCCACAGTCTAGTAATAAGTCGATTTTAATAAAAATTCCAAACATTTTGAGTAATAAAAGCACCACCTTATCTTTGCGAATTATATCTTAAATTTACTATAATATCCTTTCGTTCAGATTTCAATGTTCTTGAAAAAAAAAAAGAAAAATAAAACTGTCTAATCAGAATATGTTTTTGCAGATACAATCAGGAAATGACTCCTCTGACTAAACCAAACTGAAAACACAGAACAAAATGCTTTTGTATTCTTTATCTCGTTAGGTCCCTACCTCGTCTTATTTTGTTCATTCAATTATGCATGTTATCACTATTCCTGTTTGTTTGTAAAATAATGTCCCAGTTAGTCAAAGTCCAATATAATTCTAAAACATACAACGAACACATTGTTTAATTTATTATTACACATAATATAACTTTATTATAATTAATAATAATATAATTATTAATATGTTTGTTTATTTCAATATATAAAAATATCATCACTATCCTCATTTACGAGGAAATGTGGACAAAATATTATTATTTGCTACTTTGTTTTATTTCATACAAACATGACTAGTGACGACTAATTCGATCAAGTGAACAAAACAGATACATTTACTGAATTTCACGTTACCTAAGTTGGAAAACAAAATTCTAAATGAAAAAGTTTTATTCTGTATTTCCGATTATCTTTTACGAGAGAAATCATCTTCTTTTCCATTGTATCGTGCATATATTTCACAAATATGGTTCTATTTACAGAATCACTCCAATTAATGAAGAAATCACTTTGCTCGCAATCGACTCATCTATATCAAGGCACTTGAGTAAGAAACATTTTGTCATCGAATCGTGTCAATTACAATACCGTAGGTATTATAGAATAAAAGAGATAAAACCGAGGTGGAAAGACATCATAGGCAGTGCTGTCTTTGCTAAAGTACTTTGTGCGTTAAGTACGGGTTTTATCGTTATCCTTACTGCCACGTTAAAATCGATTGGAATTTAAATCCGAAGCTACTCTTCGTTCCATGTGAGATCACTCGAACGAGCTGATACGTCCAAGATTTTGTACAACACCTGTAACATACAAAAGAAAAAAAAAAATAAAAAAGCATCAAATACAAACTTTACGTCGATATATTTACATATAGCGAATTTTTACCAAATTTAAATTGATTATTCAATTTAATGGTAATTATTTGTGTCAACGACTCCTTATTTGCATTATCGATTTCAATGCCCTTGAAATATGTTGTCGGGGGCACGAGTCTGATCAACTTTTACTTCATACATGTTAATGTTTGGCTTTTATTTTTGAAATATTTAGAAACATTTGTTTTACGATTTTTAACGGAGAAAAATCGATTTAAATGATTTTTAAATGTGTAACCATATATACTCTTCACTAATTGTAAGTGACGAAGAAAAGTTTCCGGTTTGGCAATATTGTTCACCATTCTGACATACTTCTTTTACGTTGTGCATTCAATTTGTGACGAAGTAGCAATGATATTTTGATTGAGGTATCACGCGACACTATATACAATGAGTCTATTCTGTATTTATAGTTATATTCTAATTATATTACCAGGACTTCGTTGTCTACTGGATTATACAAGAATAGTTGCAATAGTTTTAATATAATGGCAGATATTTCTCCAATTTCCACCAATGATAATTGAAATTAAAGTTTAATATTATAAATTATAAAGTTTAATATTATATTATAAATAATATTATATTATTAAAAAAAAATTAAATTAAAAAATATTATATTATATTATATTTAATATTATATTAAAATATTATATTATAAAGAAAATATTATATTATATTATAAAGTTTAATATTCTTTTATCTATTCTCAAACCAAGAGATAGCAAACCTCCGACAACATATTTCAAGCTCATCAAAATTAATGAGGAATCACAAATGTAAGTAACTATCTTATTAAAATCAACACTAATTAATTTGAATTTGGTAAAAAACTACTTTGACAAATAATCACAGGCAGAATAGTCTTGCCGAATAGGAAACCGTTACTTTTAACGGAACCCCTAAAACTTTCCCCCCCAGAGAGTTTTATTTCACACAGAAAACAGTCTCCACATACTCCCCGGATGGTTTGAAAATTTTCCCGAGAGAAGGAGGAGGAAGACTTCTGCATAACCTTAGGACACTACCCCACCTGGCTATTGTACTTTATCCAGCACGATCGTGAAGATCCTTATTTACCTGGACCAGGAAGAATTAAGTACAGAAACGGACGAACGAATCTTACAGACACCCCACTGTAACCTCGGAGATCGTGGGAAAAATATCTACGCGTATTTATGGGGAGGATTCATGGAAGTATCCGGTCGCTTGATGACAAGATTACCAGAAGAGACTTGCTCAAAAAAATCTTTCTTACGACGCGACTCCGGGTGAAAATCGAATTGCAACATTGTATCGCTTCATCTTTTGGATTCGTTTTCAGCCTGTTTGAAATTTGTATGAAAATGGCGAAACGAATTACGTATATAAAATGATGATTTGCTTGCATAGAAATTGCTCTCTAGAAAATGCAATATTAGACAAGTGTATTGAATTTTTAACATACGTATTGCTGTATTACTCGTGTTATCTGCATACGTACGGTAAATTTTGAAGGAAATGTATTGTAGCGATATTTTTGCTTGAAAATTTCATCCGCTAAATCGGGGTTAAACAGATTCAATTATGTATAGAGAGGTAGTCCTTGAGAATTATCGCTTGTAGATAAAATGAAAAAAAAAAAGAAAGAGGCACTGTAAGGACATTCGTTTATCAGTAGCAAGGCGCGACTGGAAATTGCTTTTAAGAGGAACACTGACTCGATGAAGAACCACCAAGAGTGTTTCTTTGACTGAAGAGCGTCTGGCACTTTTTCACTTTATCAAACCAAACTTTTATCGTATCAATGGAAAATTTGAAAATTTAACGTCATTCAACTCCTACGGAATCTATTAATCTAAACAATTTTTCTTAATCTGATTTATAATTTATTAGATCATTTATATTCTGTTTAATAGAATATGCAAATATTTATGTAAATCTGAAGAACTTAAAAATGCAAAAATACATAAAATGATATTTAAGTTTAATCAAATTATTTCTTTAGTCGTGTTCATAAAAATTTTCCAATCTCTTTATCATATTTGAAAGAATTGTTCACTCAAAGTGAGTTTGTAATTAATATTATGTTGAGTTGGGTGTGCAATCAATGTTACATGGTACTGGACTGAAACGTTTTCTGAAAGAAAAATAAAATAATTCTCTAATTTAAAAGTACGTGAATCTTACTCGCTGAAAAGGTTTAATCCTCGAACAGCGTAATCGGTTGAAAACCGTCGTCGATACAAACGCCGTCACATTGTCATGCTGGTAATGTTTATTGATAAGATAGACAACATGCGGGTTACCAGCATGACAAACCTTTAAATTCTTTTGTTCTTGGCGAGGCAAGTCGAAGGAAAAGAACAACGAGCGAGAAATGCCTGCATAAACCTTGCTACCATTTTGTTTCGCCAGTTTCGTTTCTTAGGCAAAAAAAAAAAAAAAAAAAAAAAAATAGAAACGTGTTTCCTCGCGTGAGAACACCATGCATCCGATAACACAAAACTCAGAGATTATAAATGAACCTGATTATTGGACTTGATTGAATATACATATGTATTTCTTTTATCAACACGATGAATAAACGATAAAATGAAAGAATTTGAAATTTCTTTATAAATGCATATGTTTCGACGTGTGTACAGTCTTGCTTAACAATTTGGAGTATGCCAAGATATCGGGAAGAATAACAAGCTCTTCAAAATATCATTCTTCTTGCCATTGAAATTGGATTTGAATTATATTTAAAGATGAAAGTTGTTAATATTCTATAATATTTATAAGAAAAGTGTACGAAGAAGTTTGTTTCGTGCAAAGAGAGGAGGATGGTTCCATACTTTTGAACGACAGTGTACGCGTCAGGGATTTTTCGACTGGGCACGATTTTCACCTAATTCGAATGCAACGTGAAAAGTCACTTACAGAAAGATAAAAACTTCTCAATTCGATATACGTGAGTGAGTCTTGCTTTTACAGATAGACTACGAGTATTCCTGCATTTATGGGAAATTTAAAGATGCAAAATCGCGAAATCCGTTACACTTTCGGTTACGATAATAATTTATACTAATCATTTGCAAATATAAATTAACCTGATAATCGTCGACCAGCGAGACTTCATCCAAAACCAATCGAACGTGTCAATTCATGTTTCTCGTTATCCCGACGAGCGAAGACTGACCAAACAAACTGTCACGTTTGTTCGTTACACTTCCCAGTAACAATAACAATTCATACCTTTCGTTTGCGAGATATAGAGGCGCGTCGCGAAGAGAAATCATCTCGATTAACAGTGCGATTTAAAATACGCCACCGACGTCGGCGTGCGCGTTCAACGGTAAGAAATTTCGGCCAACGTACGAGGACACGGTGATCATTAGTTAAGGAAGAAATTTCATCGAACGACTTCCGGCTTTTCGGCACGGTCGCCGGAGAAAAATAAACGCGATTAAAGCAGGGTTAAAGTTTCACTGTGCTCGTTACACAGCGGCGAGAGACGAGGAGATAAGAAAAGGAATGAGAACAAGCGTGGAAGAAGCAGAGAGAGAAGAGAGGAGAGTAGAGCGGAGAGCAGAAGCGATGCATGCGGTGGTGCCGAAAGAAGGCCGATAGGCTCGCGAGCAACGGGACGATATCAACGTGACCGGCAGCCAAGGAAGGAATTTATTAAATTAATTTGCCGCGGCGACGCATCTCGTAAATTTCGTAGATGACCTCACTTTATAATTGTCGAGAATTACTTGCTCTGTTGTTCTGGGCTCGTTCGGACCCGGTTGCCACTCGCGTGAGACTTCTTGCTCCCCTAGGAGACGCGTTTTATTGCCGCAGTTTCATCGGATAGGCTACGCCTTCGATATTTGGAAATTTCATTCGAAACAGAGGAGAGAGAAAGAAAGAAAGAAAGAAAAAAGAAAGAAATAGGAGAGAAAGAAAACTCGAAACTGGTGAACTGCCAGAAGCGGAACATCATTTTAATACGAATGATTGACGCGGGCAGTTCGTTTTAAGGTCAGGGTAATTGAATGGAGTGAGGTACGAAAAAAAGAGATTCTACAAGAACCGCAAGAACGCCAACGACGCTAATGGTTCCTTTTTTAAAGGCGAAAGCTAAAGTTTCGGCCAGCAGCACGCGTGGAAATAATATTGCGTATAACGTGAAAGTTAACGTCGAATATTCTATCGAAGCCGATGCCAATTATCAAAAAAACCTTGACACCTTGTGTCTCACGTGTAGTTGATAATGATACATTTTGGAAATGACACGAACGTTGTCTTAAAAGGAAAAATCGAAGCCGAACGCTTATTCAAAAATATATACTATTTGACATATGGTAGTCGTTCCACTAAAGTTTCTTAATCGCGCTGCTATTACCCATATGGCACTGAAACTCGAGTGTTTCGGTGTTTAAGTTAAACGCAACTCAGCTCGCATTTAGAAACATCTCGTTTTCTCATAATAGATAATCAACTATCGAAATGTGATGCGGGAATACACTTCTAAGAATTGCATTTATATAAGATTCAAATATTTTTAAATGAATTAAATTTCAATTCTTTATACAGATACAATGCCATGCTGACGATAAAATATATGTGGAATTATCATACACGTTTCAATAAACATAAATTTGTATATATATATATATATCGTATTATACAAAATATATATTTGATGTGCAAAATATAAATTTTGTCACAGAAAAAGAAGTGGAGGAAGCTTGTTCCAATTTTTTTAAAACTTGAATTCTAATGTTCAAATTGTCTCTCGTATATCCCTTGCTTAACCACTGTTCTTTTGCCACCCATATGTTGAAAATACGAAGAGCTTCTGTCGCCTTATGGCTTCCTTGAATGCCGATATGTACCTACACATGCACCAAATATTACATCGGACTTGGTGCATGGCACATGGGTTACGAATGTTTCTAAGGAAACCGTGATTTCTATTTATAACTGAATGACTGCATAGGAAGCCGACTTTTTTTTCTTCTTTATAATTCGTCGAAAAGGCAAAATATTAAGAATAATATGAAATCTATTTTCAAGAAAAATTTACTTTACCAATTATTAATTAGAAAATCAAAACTAGCGCAGAATAATTCTGTGACGTATATAAAGTGACATAAAAGTTATTCAATACCTAAAGGACGTCTAATAAAAAATAGTATTTTTTCTCAAGAAGTGTTTTACATTATAATTTTACTAAAAAATGCGCAGGATGAAAATAGCGTGTTTGGAGAAATTTGGAAAGAAAAAAGAAAAAGAAAAATAGAATATGGTTTAGCTTTAGGGGGAAAGCGAGCATATGCGTGATCAACAGGAGGAGAAACGGATCAATGTCGAGCAATTGGAAACCACGAAGATTGGGAAAGGTCTGGTTGAGATATATTTCGAGGAGGATACCTAACATATGGCAAAATGGTAAACTACTTCCGTTTGTGAGAGCGCACTTTGTACGCCGCAGTGGCAGCTAACGTTTCGAAACGTACGAGAACGGACTAACCGAGCGAGCCAACACGAACTTGAAGTTTCCGTGACACGTGTTCTTTTGGAACTACTTGACACATCTACGAACCTTCTTTCTCGATATCGATATAAGTGCACTTCCACGTAATCCTGTCGCGAGAAATAAATTATTACGTGGTATCTAAATGGATAACTTGCTTCTTTCGAAAGAAGATGACAGAAGATGAATGTTATTAAACAGAACAGTGGATAATTATTATAACAGAAAGTGTTACTTATCCAACATATTTTCTTCATTTCATTTTTCTAACGTTTCCCATTTAGACTTCTGATGTACTTATTAAATCTTCGACGAATATTATTTCAAACGTAGTATTTTGTTTTCTTTAATAATAAATAATAGGTATCTCTTTAGTTTAATTATCTGGTCAATTTAAAGAAGGGAACAAACTACTGTATAAAAATTGTATATTTTAACAACCACCTCGAAATCGATCAATTTTTGCAATTTCTCTTCTCCAAATTTTATCTCTTCGGAATTGCTGCGAAAACTTAGGTCACAAGTGTACGAAGCAATGGGATGTGGCCGAATGTCACGTTGTCAGACACTTTGCAAAGTGGTTACAACGCGTAAAGTTTATTTTCGGGAGCGCCGACGCTCGAGCACGTGTTCAAAAGGAAACGCTGTACACGAGTTTCCACTTGGAGACGCTTCCTCGTAGTAATTGTCACGTGCCCGGCGTCGATCAACAATCTTGTTGGTTCAAGCCACTTAAAGTACTTCAATGAGCACTCTTCTGTTCGGACCATGCGAGTTTCATGAACGTGAAACAATACTACACGGTTGTCTATTGTCGCTCATCCGGTTCGTCGGTGCACGTGTAACTTTTTCTAAATTTTGCTAATGACGCAGCCACGTTTCACGTTTTCGTTGCCCACAAATGTTTCTCGTAACGAGAAAATGTATAAAGTGTACTATAATTCAATTTAGATATTGAGGAATTCGTTGATGTACATGTTACTAAATTTTAGAATATTAGATATTGAACTATTTATAAAACATTTGAAATATTTCAATTTATATTTCCATTATAATTGATTTTTGGTTATGAGCGTTTGATTGAAATGACACTGGTGTGCTTCAATATCAACTTGCTTAGATTATTGATTACAATATAACTTGTATAAAAATTGAATATCGAAATGTCAAACATTTCACAATTTGTAATCATTCCATGTATACTCTCATGTACAAGGTGCCTAGGTTTGGAGTTTGAATCTTCTTCAATTTCATGTAAGTAATCATATAACTATTTATGAGTTTCACAAAATTTCTAGAAGAAAGAGAGAGAGAGAGAAAGAAGGAGCAATAAAAGGATTTTATAGAAAAAAAGAGAAAAAAAAAAAAAACGTGAAACACGAACCTTTCTACTACACGTGTGTGAGACGTTGGGCGTGTTGCTGATGTACTAGTCTGCCCTGTTCCTGTTCCCACCAGCTGACAACGTCCATGAATTCGCCGGATTCGGTGATCTCCTGCTTATAATACAGAGCTCCGGAAAAGGTTTCCGGACTCGCCGCGTAAACGGTGGCTGCACCCTCTTCGCTGTCCCCGGCGCCACTATACGGCGATAGAATTTGGGGCTCGAGGTTCTCTTCGTTTTGTCCGTAATATTCCGAGGGTGGAGACGCTACCGAATTAGGGGAGAGCCGGGAGAAATTCTGCGTGTTCGACAGAGTTCTCGGTTCGAGATTCTCTTCATCCCCAATCGAGGATGCATAGTAATCGCGTGGCGATGCGACTGTCGTCCGATTTGGCGATAGTCTAAAAATCATTAACGTGATCATCGTTACTATTTCAATGCCTCTTACTTGTAATTAATATTATACAGAGAATTCCGAAAGTATTCGTGGGATATTTCACGGCTTAATTCTCAGTTGGTATAGCACTGTAATTAATAATTTAACAGAAACTTAATTACCCTTAAGTGGACTATTTGGATCGTTATTTGAAGATTTATATAATTCATCATTTCGGAACAAACAGACAAGGAATGATGAGAAAATCTTGGAGTTTCGAATTAAAAGTTCAAATAGTAATTCGTTTGTGTGCATTATTTTTTTTTTTTGTGGGGGAAAAAAACCCACGTCTTTCAAATTTACTCGGGCACGAAAAAGAGCCCAGTTTAAACTAGGAAAAGGGTCGGAAACCTCAAATTTGTCGCGTGGCGTTCGAAACAATACTACGTTACTGCATTAACCAACAGAAAAATACGAAGGAAAAGAATTACTTGGACGTAATCTTCTGTTTCCCAATTTCATCCTCTTCGTCTAGCTGTTGTTCGCCATCGTCCTCTTCGGCGGCGAGTACGTCGTCTTCCAACACGAGCCTCTCGCCGGAACCGTTGTGACTGGAGGAAACGACGCTGCTGGTGGGCGAAGGCACACACTGTACGCCGCCGACGTTGTTCGAATCGTACTCGACCCCATCCGCTTCGGCAAGCAACCTTTGAAGTCCCCTGATGTACTCCACGGCCATTCGCAGTGTCTCCACTTTCGACAATTTCTTGCCCCTGTCGCCGTATCCAGCCGCGATGTGACTCGGAATGTGCTGTCTCAAAGTCGCGAATCCGTTGTTCACTTGTTTGACGCGATTCCTCTCACGTGCATTCCTCCGTGCAACCGCAACCGGTGGCGGTTGCCCGTTTTTCCCGTGTTTCTTCAACCTGGAGGGATCGTAGGGTGGCAACACGGCGGCAGAACCGGTTGCACTCGTATTATTATTATTATTATTATTATTATTTTTCGGGACTATCAGGTGAGGTTGGTTGCCGATTATGTTGCTCTCGTTGTCCTGCAGCGTCCTGAGCAACATCAGTTGCTCTTGATCGTTGCCGTTTATTTGAACCCTGTTGCAAAACACCGTAACTCCCATAGTCGTCATTGTGGATCGCTTTCCCGCTTCAGATGCTCAAAATGTCAGGAATTCAGCTTCATTTACCGAATTGAAACGAATGTAACGACGTAGCGCGGATCGTTGGCGTAAAAGTCTGTTCTCATCAGTCTTCTCTAAAGTGCATGAACAACGTTGAGTTGCAGAGTCGTTCGGTGAAATTTATCAAACGCGAGAGGTGATTTTTCTTCACTTGAAAAACGATAAATCGGAATCGTGGAACGATGGTAGAACGAGTCACTTTGTCGTGAGAATCGCCAAGCCGACGAATAGCTTATCGGCTCTAATGCCTTTCGAGGACGAATCTAATTGATAGACTTATAAATAAACCAGGCTCTCCCCTCGAAGATCATCGACGCAGACGGTTAGACGACTGTTCGATTTGATGTTTGTATATCTGGGTCAGAATATCTTTCTAAGCGTCAACTTCCTTTTTCTTTCTGGAATTATCTTGTTCTTAGGACTAAATAAAATATCACTCCAGCCCAAAAAGTTAAAGTCAAACTCCCACGAAGAACTTTCAATTTGCACCTTCTTTTTTCTTTTTGTTATTTTTACAAGACTAACAGCAGCATCTGTTTCTCAGTCGTTTCTCTTGCCTTCTCTTGCGTAAACGAATTAGCAGACAGTACGTTCCTTTTGCACAGAAGAGTCGTCGAAATTATTTACGATTCTTACAATTTAACAGGTACGACAGCGTATACTTTCTGGTCGGAAAAAAAATTGATAAATATAAACATGATACTTAATAAGAAGCTCTCGTCGTTAAGATCTCCGATGGACGAGCCACGGAAGCCGAAGTTTTCCGATGGTCCACGGGGGCTTTTTTCTTTTTCTACCAAATGACAGAGCTGATGACCTGAACCAAGATCCAATTGTCTCGTCGTCGGTCACAACGGCTTAAGTAAGTAAAGCATGAGGTCACCATCTATTCTTCTCCGCGACGGTCGTCGACTCCTCGGAAATTATTCTTCGGAATCTGAATTGTCGTTGCTCCAACGAAAACATCGAACTAAAAAGAAATATAACAATCGACGTACACCACTACCATTCGCCGTGGTGCCACTTTCTTTATACCTCAAGGAAATACTTAACGTTTTGAAATTGCAGGAAACGCCCGTCCGCGCACGTCGCGTGACATTTCAATTAGAATCGAGATCTTCGAATCGTATTATCACAATGTGACTGAAGGAATCGTGTGGTAGCACCAGTTATAACGCTCCTATTTACGAGGAAAGCACTTTAACGACTTCAAATGGAGAATTGAAACGCTCTTAATGATTTGTACGAACAGCCATCGTTCATGTTATAACACTTATTGCGAATCGATTTATCTACTTAAGGCACTTGCAACCAATGTTTCGTTGCTCTTTGTCCAGCAGGACTAAGGTCACTTATTACTGAAAATTCCACGGACACGTTGAAGAATGGCGAGCAATCTCGTGAACAGTATCTCGACATAGGTCTTAATACCTTCGCAGCACCACGCGAAGTTCCTGCCTTGGCGTGATTTCCTCTCGGCAAGTTTATCGAGACGATTGTTACGATCGCGATTGCGTTTCTTCGAGGACAGTCGAAACTCACGTACGTTGCACAAGTACAACTCCATTCAGACGGTGAAATTGTCAACAGCCGGCGTTCGCTACCGATCGGAGTGGCAGCATCGTTTCGCGATCAGCAGCGTGGCGTTTGATCGAACGAGTATAAAGAAGCCAAGAGGTTGGCTCCCATTTGATATTTTACTGCGCTGCGCGCAGTGACACGTATCGCGCGCGCGCGCGCGAGAGAGAGAGAGTGAAAAAGGGGTAGAGGAAGGACCAGGTGGTGGGAGTTTTAAGCACGCGCCCGGTAGTCAACGCCGGGCCTAATCAAACAAAGAAACCAAATGAACGACGATTACTCGATGTTCGCACTTGCAAAATCCACGAGTCACTTTAGGTTTTTGTAAAACATATACAGCGATACTCGCGGGTTTCTCTCTCTCTCTCTCTCTCTTTCTTTCTCTCTCTCTCTCTCTCTTTCTCTCACTCTCACTCGCGACGAAGTATCTGAAACCGGTCAGAGTGGGGAGGGGAACGGGGGTTCACTCCCCCGATGCGAAATTCCTCCGAGGTTATCGGGGTTTCCTCGAGACGGCAGCCGATGATCTCTCGATGGTATCCGTCATCGGTCACTTTTTCACTCACGGCTCTTCCTCCCGGCGGATGGCAGCGCTCGTTTCTGATCAGACCTCCGTGCTACGCACCGCATGGCGTCCGCGTTGAGAATGAACACGGACATCCGATAGATGGGTTAGGTTTCAGCATTTTGCCGCACTATGGAGTGAGACGGGAGGGCTGGTTTCTGGAGGGTCGTAGGGGAGGGGAATTAGGGTCTGAACGAGGGACAGAAAGGAGGCACGAATATGCGCGAGCGAGAGGTCAGGCGCGAGGGAAACGCGTGTTGTGCGAAGAGGAAGAGGCTGGTGGGGGGTTTTGAGCACGCGCCGCAGCCCCCTCGTTTCTTCTCCCCCGGAACTGAAAAAGGGGGACCGTGCGCGCCATATGCCGGGGGGAGAAGCGCGTGTGCCAGTTGCGTACGCTTCGTATACGCACGTACATACATGCCTCTCTCTATGCGACTGCGCGTACGCGCGCGTCGCGATCCGGCGAATCTATTGGCGAGAAACGAGAGCGAGAGCGCGCCGCGCATTCAAGCATTTCAAGCTCGTTGATCCTTGACTACGAGCCACTACGAACTCTGTTATTTCGAGAGCCTGGCGACTGGTGAATCCGAGGGCATCTATCGCGACGGAAATGTTTCAGAAATTTGCGAGGGTGGCTGAATGAAAGAGCATGGCGAGCGTAATAGAGTCCGGGTCGACTGTACGCGAGAATTGCTTTTGCGTGAAAGAATTTGTCCTTCGATAAGCGGTAGCAATTTGGTGGCATTTGCTCGCTGACTTGTTTGTACGATTTATTTCAACGAAAAATTGCCACGAATAGATTCTCTTAGACTTCTGAGTTTCTTATTTACTCCTACTCTTGTTTTCAATCTCTCGCGCTGGTTCACGGACCATAACGAGTGACCAAACCGTATGTACAATAATTCGTCTTCCTTTTGAATTCATCGGCGTATCATTGGATTGAAATTAATGAGAAGTAATAAATTTATTATTTGCTTTGCCTGGGTTATATATTTCAATATACTTAAAATTGAGAAAATATTGCAATTTTGAGCCAAATATTCTCGACGTGCGTGGCACGTCATTCCCCAGTGCAAGAGATTAAATCCCTTTCTAGCCAATAATACGAAGACTATTGTTTTTCGGGGTGTTGGTTTTAAACAAGTAGATACGCGCAATCGTAAATGAATATTTATGAACATTTTCGAAGATAGAGTTAGACCTTCACGCGCTTTGGAGCAGTATCTTTGCAACAGATAGTGCGAACAACTGCGCGATTTAATGAAACGTATCTACCTATGTATTACGTGTGATTCATACTAATGTTTTCCCGTCGTGAATGTATCGCAACTATAATGCAATTGTGAAACTTGTAAAACTTAAAGACTTTTATATTACAAAAAATACAAATCACGCGATGTATAGACAGATGGTCAATTTATTCTGTTGCGAAAATCAGAGAACTTGGACTATAATCACATTGGAGAATGTGGTAATCTGGTTTTTCTGTCAATTCTGTGGATTATGTAAATCATTCGGAAAGAAATATTTAAGCCGTGGAAACGCATTTGGCGATCCACATTTCCGAATAGCAAACCCATACATATCGAGCTTCCCTAGTCAAAAAAAAGATTTGCGGACGAAAGAAAGGATTATTTTGTTGATCCGATTTCCTCCATCCCTTTGTGCTGCGACGTCGGTTGCATACAACGAAATGAAAACAATTTTTCAAAGCATCTGCCGATTGTCAACAGTTTTACAATCAGAACGAGGCCAAGAGATATCTTCTTAGCTTTATTTACAGATCAAGCTCTTCCATTTTTATCAAAACCGACACAGACAGGTTTCAATGAATCTTGCGATAGTCTTACGACAGAAATTTAAGGCCCGATGAATTCATTAACTCATTTTTCTGCGCCGTGCGTTTCGCAGTGTGGAACAGGAAGAACGACATTCGGTTTGCCGCGGAAGTTTCGTGTTTCGGGGCGGTGCACTCGCGAAGGCCGGTAGTGTTCCAAGCTTAAAATAGAATTTCCATAACGTAGTTTAAAAGTTTCACCGTAGCCGTAGGAAGTTTTTAATTTTTAAATTTTAAGTTGGCACGAAGCATAATAATTATCAAAGTATTTATTAACAATAGATCACACGCACCGTAGCCGTAGGAGTAATTTTTAAATTTTAAATTGGCACGAAGCATAATAATTATCAAAGTATTTATCAACAATAGGTCACACGCATATGTTACAAAATTTGAAAATAATCACTCATACATTGATCTACGCTTTTACAGCAAAAAAACTTTAGTACGATATCGTACTGTAGGTTACAGTTTTTAATTATCATTTCGACAGTGCTAAGATTCGACAAATGCGTTGTAATAGGTTCTTTTTAAACAAAATTGAAAGTAAACAGCGTAGAAAAGCGAATGAAACAGATAATAATATAGTCAAGTGCTTTGAATTGTAAAAAAATTTTGAAATGAAACACACGAGAGAAGAATTAAAAGGAGAAAATTCCTTTTCGACCTCGACCACGATCGAAATAATTATACACAAGTGACTCTTGCACAAAATTACAATGTAACGGCATTTCCTGCTCGTAAATTGTAATTTGGACAAAAAAAAAAAAAAGAAACGAAACTCCATCAAATAAATTTTCTCACAATTCATCCATGGGTTGGTGGATTGTATCGCAGGGACGAAAAGGTTCAGAGGGATTTGGCCTAGATCCAGTTTATATTCTGTATACCTAGGCCTGAGAGCGGAGCCCAACCTTGTATAATGGGGGGGCACGATTCAATTTATAGTGTGAAATATACGGACGACGTGCAATCCCTTACGGTTCGCTCATTATAATAATAATTTGCGACTGGGTTTAGTGTGAAAATTTATGTGTGTTCGGTTCGTGCGTACTTGAAAATAAATCCATTGTCCCAAATTGCGGATGAAATTGAAATAACAGTTACCTGTACAACTTGGCCTCTTTAGTTACGAATCACGATACTCTTAGTTTCTCAATGTTTTTAGCAATTGAAACAAATTTAAATTTATTCTGTTGGAACTCTATGTTTAAGTTTATAAGATTAACGTAGCGCTCTATTCACAAAAATCAATATAATTTGTGTTTGAATTTTACTAAAATGAAATTCAATTTTAAATACATGCATTTCTCTGCTAGAAAGTTGTGAAATTAAGATTTTATATAAATTTTACGGATATTGCAGTAGAACTTTCGAGGATACTTCACCATGCAACAATTTTGCATTCTGTTACATGACAATGGATCCTTCACGCAAATAGCCAGCTTGTCGATGCAACGAGGAGCGCTTGGAGATCAACACCAAGATTCGATCTAGATCTAGTCTTGCGGCCTGCGGATCTAAACTAGGGAGGCTAAATAGATTCCGCGACAAAAAAAGGAAAAAGAAAAAAAACGGGGAGCTTGGCGAATATATAATACATAATATACAGACTCTCGGGGCCGAATAGACCCTCGCAAGGAAATCTTTAATCTCCGTTCGAGAAAAACGAGCGTACATACGTGGAACGACACTGCATCGTCCGGGGATTATGCACGCCGACAAATTTAAAAATCCTTAGCTTGTATTGTCAGCCGAGCCACAACAGCCTTCGTGGGGCTTCGTGCACACTCCCGTGGGAGCATCGGCAATGGCATATAAACATACAAAGTTATCAAACACGAAACGGTCAAATAATCGTATCGATACTCGCCGCATAATACCAAAATTCCGTAATATACACGCGGTGTGAACGAGATTGTAGCCATGAGACGCCGATCGGATTCTCGAGTTCGTTTGTCTGGATACGTAAATCCGGATGATAATAATTTATTGGAAGACCCGTTTTTACACGGTCGCCCGTTCCCGTTCTGGGAGAATCTTCTTCTCCGTTCCATGTCCACGGTGGCAAGAATTAGTCGGCCTCACCTTTACAATCTTTTCAGTTTGTTTGTTCGCCACTGGATCGGCGACGTCGGATTAACATCATTATATATTATGTAGCAACATGATGTTCGACGCGTGTAATTCGCGGATCTCATTTCGATTCGGCCGGTGAAAATCAGCGGACTGGTTAGGCGGAGTACGATAGACTGATCGAACGAATAAAATAAAGTACGACACGGAGCTTGAGATGATTGCAGCGAATAGTAAATTGCGTTGATTAGTTGAAAATTTCAACACAATTCCTTGAAATCACACGGAACAGAACAGAAACACATTCGTATTTAATATCAATCTGCTTAATATCTCTTTACCATAAATACGTTGAGCCGATATTTCGTAGCGACAGTTTATTTGTACAAAATGAATTTTCATAACCGAACGTTGCTAAATGTATATTGTAAAAAGTAATATGTATACTTCATTAAAATACGAAAGATTGAAAATACATAGAAAAATAGTAGACAAT